AAGTCAAGCCTTCCTGCCATCAGTCTACCTGCTATCAAGAATTAGCTGGTCAGCATGAAAAAACAGGAAGAATTAAATTATTTACCTGGATGGATTCCAACAAATTGACCATATTGGAGATGAAACGCCCCCTGTTCGCTCTATTTTAACTTTCTCTTCACCATTTTTATTCCGTATGCTGACAATGCCATTGAACATCCCCAAAGCAAGGTACTGGCCATCATTTGTCCAGCTGATAAAACATACACATACAGAAGAGCAAACTACTAAAAACAAGCATCAGGAAGGTAACATGGTACAGCATACTCAAATAGGGACAATAGATTGAAATATATTTCTAAAAGGGAGATCTGGGATATAGCCAGTAATCCTTACAATTTGTTTATGCACCTAAATCCCCATTTACGGCACCAGCACGCAGTTCACAGCAAGAACATTTTATTACACACACAAATAAAGCAGAAAAAAAATAAAGATATCATCTGCTTGCCATACTTCTATGGTGCTAATTAACACATACATTTTTGAGAATGAGATCGTTGACAGTAGACCAGACTTTTAAAAGCTACATTTAGAACACGGAAACTGCATGGTGCTGGGTTAGAGGAGACCTGCTTCTATGCTTGTCTCTACTGTAGTAAGCTGGATGACTTTACACAAATTAGTATAGCCTTGCTTCTGGTTCCCCACGAAAGTAGTATCACCTTCTGCAAATACCAACAACACGGAAGACGAACAGCTCTGCAAAAAAGTGTGTAATTATCTTTCCTCCAACTTCCTTGTGCTGTTACTGCACAAGTTGGCTAAACAGATGGAGAGAGAAATTAAGACACCAGCTCAAAACCAGAGCACCTCCCTGGTACTTTCTGACAGGGTTTGTTTTAACAGTACCAAATAAACCTCCCAGACCATTTACTATTTAAAGTGAAATAAACAAACAAAAAAAGCAGCTCTCTGAGAAGACAACACAAGAAAGAACAACTCATCTTTGATGAGTATTAGTCTTATTTCTACTGGAGCATTCTACATACCATTAAAATATTTTAATAACGAAAATGGCAGAGCAGCATAAAATACGCAATGCTACTACTCAGCAAGCTGGGAGAGCCCCTCTCATACTGGGTGCTCTGTCTTGCCAAACATTGAACTACTTTGCTTGAACTTTTTTCCTTTAAGCTTGCAGATTATTTGAACCATTTGTACTGAAACTAATGCAAATGATACAGGTAATTATTAAAACTTACCTACAGCAAGTAATCTTACTGCTAGCTTTATGTTTAGAGACTGACTTCTGTTCAGGAGACCACAAACCTTGATAAAAACAAACAAGAAGCCAAAGTAAAATATAGGTAAGCTTTTACCAGTCTTCAGATTAGAAAATACTATTGTCAGAAAATTCAGTTTGGACTTCAAAGTCATCAAAGTCTCAATCACTGTTAGAAGGACATTTAAATACACATTATATAATCAGTAAAGAGGGGAAATATCTAATAGAGGAAGGGTTTCTCTGGAAAAATCACAGTAAAAGTACATTTTATTCTAGGACATGTCACTACATAGTCCTCTCCAACTGATTTTAAATGATATAATTAAGAATCTAACGTTACTTAACTTTAGCTAACATATCTCTCCTGGACAGAAAGAGCCATACATATCTGTGGTTAGCTTAGCTATACAGCTTTTATGGAATTCAGTGACTTAATGGAAAAGTGAGAAGACATACCAAAATCACTGGAAGAGCAGGATGCCAACTGATGAGTAAGAGGATTGTATGAAACGCACTGTATAGAGTCATTATGCCTAGAATGAAGTTACAATCGCATTTCAGTAAGTCACTCTTAAGTGCCTTTTTCTGACTTTCAGCGAGATAGCAGCAAGGCTCACCAGATGGCAGAAATAACTTGATCAGCTTGTATTACATCAAATTAATCTGCAATTACTGTAAACTAAATCCATAATAAAACCTGAAAAAATTGTCTCTGCATGGCACGATTCACTGCGTTTCATCGAGATCAGCTAAAAACGTATGTAGGTGGTGGTTTGTGAGATGTGATTAAAGGTTATATCCAAACCCTAAGCATGCTTGGGTATGCTCCGAACTAGTGCAGTCGCTCGTGTATAATAACTAGCAATAATTGTACACACACATTCAGAAACAGAATTTGAAGATGTAGCTTAAAAGAGACGGCATATTAAACATAGCAAGAGAAATATGGAAGTACACTGAGAAAAAAAATACCAAACCTTACCTTCAGTTTGGTCTTTGACCTAGTTCTGTATTAAGTTGGTTTATTACACAGATCAGTTATATTCCATTTCATTTCATCTCAACCTACAAAGTTTCCCTAGTTCTTTGCCAGCTCTCTAAATTGAGAGATTAATCTAAGCCTTCCCGCCCTCTATAATGCCTTTAATTGCTTTCCTGCCTCATTCAGGTACTTTGACTATTCTTTTCCTCTTCCCTCTCCCATTAGCCACTGGCATTTTCTCTGACCTTAGTTAACCTTCTTCCAACTCTCTCATCACTTACTCTTTGACAGCAGGGTGCATAATCAGAGGCTGTATTTGAGGCGCACAGAATTAAAAGGCATCACTTACGTGTATTTCAGAATTCCTTCTAACTTTGAAGTCCAAATTATCACACTTTTATCAGCTGAGCCAGACGCAAAACGTTTGCCTAGGAATTAAATATAATTTAAATCGCATACACAAGAATCCTTTGCACTCCGAGTATTCAACCAAATAGAGAGCAAGATGTTCTTGAACTGGACAAGGCTCAAATAATAACGGGCCTAACACTGTAAGTGTCTTGATGTGGCTGCACTTCTCTATGTGAAATTCCAGTGGCTTTATTTTGATACTCCTTCGGAGACTGCCTCATTAAAGCCCAGTAATGCAAGCAAGGAGATGGCCTTTCCAACGCTGCCAGTCACACATTGAAGATTTGTTACCAGTGTCAAGAGAAATGTGACATATTTTCAAAGGCATTGGCTCTAACTTAAATATTAGTATTTGAGAGTAAGTCCTTCGAATCCACACGCAGTACTTCCTCACGGAATGAGCACCAGAAGCAATGAACAAACTAGAAGCATAAGGTGACCTGTACTGAGCATGCTAACATATGAAGGATCAGAAGATTGGGAAGCTTTGGGAGAGGAACTGCTGGAACAAAAATTCAAGGCAAGTGGAGTACTAGAAAGGGGGATCTCTAGGGTAAGCCTTCTACTGACATTACCTCAGGAGGTGTCATGGGAGGGGAGGTGGGGACTACAGCTCCTGGATTAACAGGTAGCCTTACATGTAAAAAAAGAATCGTTCCTTCTGCATGTAGCATTTGTGAGGCATTTCGAACTCCCGATTAAAAACAAAGAAACAAAACGAAACACCACATGCACACATGTTCAAAACGCTGTTACTAGAACAACCCTGAATTCGTTACCAATTTGCGGTAAGAAATGGGAGATAATATGCACTTTACAAAACGAACTAATGCTACCCTAAAAAAGGGGTATTTACCATCTTTAGCATAAGCCACACAGTATACCGTGTCCTTATGACCTTTCAAAGGTTGAATTAAGGTTCCATCAGAAGTATCATATACCTGTATAAACAGGAAAAAAACAGTTACCTTCCAAATGAGAACTATGGCACTAAATTACCTAAGATCAACAAAATTGTATCTGTTTTTGTTTTTATTTTTGCATGCAATACAATTCACACAAAACCAGGCATTTTAAATGGAAAAGCAGTTTTCCTTAATGTAATGCTTCTCTTCCAACATTTTGAAAGAAAGAACACTAAGCATTAGAAAAACACAAGCACAAATGAAATTTCCAAACGAGTCGTTTGTCCTGTTCACCTTACTTCATCCCCTTCCTTCCTCACATTAGGAATGTTTAAGCACAGTAAGCTGCTGGGAGGACCATCGCTAAGTGTACTGTTCTGTGAGCGCTGGGGATTCAGGAGCCTGCCTTCCTTCAGCTCCAGCCACCTCTCGGCAGCTGTGCAATCCATCCCGCCACCCCGGCCGTTCTCACACCCATCCCATCCGAAAGCTTTGGGGGACACCGTGAGCAGCTCTCGCTGAGGGGTGAGCGGCAGGCACGCTGAGCCAGGGAGCGTGCTGGGAGCCCTGCTTGAGGCCGCTCTCAAGGCACGGACATAAATTTGCGTTTCAGAGATTTTCATGTGGGAGCAGAGCCTGCACGGCACACTGCCCGGGTGCAGGTCAGCGGGTCGCCAGCTGCTCCGTGAGGTGTGAGCACCAGATGCCATGAGCAACACGGGTCCGTTACTGTGCGAAACCGGGCCTGCAGCTGGGCAAGACACGGTAAGGAGCCTCGGGACGCTCTGCAGAGCCCGGTTAATGCACTGCAGGCCCCGGGCTGCAGCACCAGGGGGCAGGGGGTGTGGGGGGGCGGAATCCTCGGGTGCCGTGTGAGGGATCGCGCTCGTGCAGCCCTGACTGCGGGGAACGGGGCCGCAGCCGCTGCCCTACCAGGAGCCTGTTCCCAGCAGCGATTATCAGCTGAGTGCCGTCGGGCTTGAAGGCCAGGTCATAAATGCTGCGGGAGAGACAAACAGCGCGGGGTGAGCAAGGGGCGGCCGGAACGGGCCCGGGGCCGCGGCACGGCCCGGCACGGTACCGGCGGCTCGGCTGGGCTGGGCTGGGCTGGGCTCGGCGCTGCCCGGGCCGGGGCCGTGGCCGCGGGGCCGCTCACCAGTGCTCCGCCTGGTCGCGCCAGGTCAGCGCGGCCCGCATGGCCGGGAGGGATCGGGCCGGGCCGGGATGGATCGGGCCGGGCCGTGCCGCCGCCCGGTGCCCTGGCAACGCGCATGCGCAGTGAGGCCCGGCGGGCGGCAGGGGGCGCCTGGCGGCAGGGGGCTGCCGGCGGCCGGGCCGCAGCGCGCAGGCGCGGCGAGGGCGGGGCCGCGGCGGGAGGGGGGGCGTGGCGGCGGGATCACGTGACCGCGGTGCCGAGGATTTCCCGCCGCCGCGCGAGGGCGGGGCCCGCATGGCGACGGGCGGCGGCGGCGGCGTGACGTCACAGCGCGCGGCGGCTGCGAGTGGAGCGGGCCCGGGAGCTGGGGGGGGCGGCGAGGCCGGGGCCGGGGTCTCTCTGCGCGCCGCCTCCGTGCCGGGCCCACGCCGAGGCGCGCCCGCGGCTGTCCCGGGAGCGGCGGGGAGCGGCCGCGGGGCGCGCTGCGATGAGGCCGGCGGCGCCCCGAGCGCTGCGGGCGGCGGCGAGCCCCGGGGAGGAGAAGCGGGGCCGAGCGGAGGCGGGCGGAAGAGGAGCCGGGCCCGCAGCCGCGCTGCAGCGGGGAGCCCCGCCCGGGCCGCGGGGACGCGGAGCCTGAGGCCCCGGGGGCGGCCGGGCGCGGAGCACGGCCCTGGCGGGGAGCCCTCTGCGGAGCCCAACACGGGGAGCGGCCCCGCAGCGCCGCCAGGTACGGGCATGGCCCTGCCCCCTGCCCCGGGGGGCTCCGGGGCCGCGCAGAGCTGCCCGCAGTGACCCCGAGCTGCTCCTGCACCTGCACCCGGCCCGCCTCTGGCCCCCGCAGGGAGCACAGCCGGGCCCGCTGCCGGCCCCCCCGGCTGCACGGGGCGCTCCTGTTCCCCCCCTGCTCAACCCCTTGGTGCCCCTGCCCCGTTGCCCGGTTTGCTCCGTGGAAGCGGCTGCTCACAGCCGGGCTGGTGCCGCAGCGTGCGGGCACTGCTTGATTCTTGGCTGTAGTCTGAGCCTGGCTTCCCAGGCCGCGGCAGGGCAGTGTTTATTGCTGCAAGGCTTTTCTCACACCTGCAGCACGGGAGCACTGCGGGGAGCCTGCAGCACGCTGCTCTTGTGCACCCCTGCCTGAAACCCTCACGTTCCCATCACAACTGAAAGGAAATGTTTTGTGAGGCATGATAGCAAAGGAGGTGCTTTTCTTTCCCATGGTAATGCTGAGGCATTATTTCTTTCCAGAAGAGCCTATCCCCCGAACACAGGTGGAGAGGAGGAAAACAAGCCCGTATTTCTCAAGTAAATACAGTAAGGAAGGTACGGTGCTCCCCAGGGAAACAGACCCTGCTCTGGGGGAAGGGACAGGCTGGCTCAGGACACGGTGTGTCAGGAAATGTTCCCAGTTTCAGGCTGGCCACACGCAGTGGCAGCAGGGCTCTGCTTTCGTGATAGAGGGAGGGCCTCTTCCAAGGGAGCATACATGGCACACGGGGCCGTGTGGGCAGCCCCAGTGCTGTGCCAGCGCTGCAGTGCGTGTGTTCCCGCACAGTTCTGCAAAAGGGAGCGTGAGAGTCACCCTGCTGCACCCGCACGCACTGCCCCGCTGTGCTGAACCTGCTGCACAAGTGCATTTTTGTAATTATTTTCCTTTCAGTAGGTGATTCCATCCTTTACTGCCCAACTCATTTTCTTCTGTTGCCTTTGTGTGCAGCTCCAAGCCCGCCTCGAAGGAAGGTGCTCAGAAAATGGACTCCTCCGCGTTCTCCTTTTAACTTGGTCCAAGAAACGCTTTTCCACGATCCGTGGAAGCTGCTCATTGCAACCATATTTCTCAATAAGACGTCAGGTAAATGGAGTAAAATGGTTTCGTGTTGTATAAATGTTGGGTGGTGTTATCATAGGATCGGGACAGCTGCCAATTTTTTGTGGCATTAATGAAAGAATAAATACATATCAGCTTGTGTTGAGGTTAAAAGCAATCTTTAATATGCACCTCCTGCCTCGGCAGAAGCTCCCTTAAAGAAATGAGCCTAGATAATCAAAGGAGACGATTTCTTTGGGTAGGTAAAATGGCGATTCCTGTGCTCTGGGAGTTCCTTGAGAAGTACCCTTCTCCCGAAGTAGCCAGAACCGCGGACTGGAAGGAAATGGCAGAGCTGCTGAAACCTCTCGGCCTCTACGCACTCAGAGCGAAAACCATAATCAAATTTTCAGGTATATTCCTGGACAAGTCTGTGGAATGGTGAAAATCAGACTAGCAAGAAAACCAGCGTTATTCTCAAACTGTGCCTTGTGATGTTTCTCCTTGCTGAGCGTGGGTGGTGCTTTATCTCAGGCAGCCTTGGGGTGTTTTGGTTGTATGTGCAGAGCTGTAATCATATTGTCTTAACTGAGTGTCTTGTACTGCTAACCTAGCCATGGTTTTTATTTAAAATATTGCAGAATGGACGTGGGGTAATAGCCCATTTTGTTTAGACCTGCTCTCTAGGATCTGTGTGCGTGTGATGAGCTGTGTGGCTGTGTTCTAGATGAGTACCTGACCAAGCAGTGGAAGTACCCCATTGAGCTGCACGGAATTGGGAAATACGGGAACGACTCCTACAGGATCTTCTGCGTCAACGAATGGAAAGAGGTGCGTGGTGCTGCTGTTCTGCAGGGGCTTGGGCTGGGGTGTGCTGCAGGTGGTGGGTGGGAGTCTGTCCTGTCTGTGGGACTTCTATGTGTGTACTCGCTTGGATTGAAAAATCAGAGCGATTTTTCTTCTGAAGAGAATTGGTTGAACTCCCTGAGTGTACTCTTTACAAGTCTGAGCCTTTAAGTCAAGGCTGGTATCACCTTGATTTTTTTTCTGTAATTCCCTGTTTTTGCTGTTTTATTTCTGCATGGTGGGGGTGAGGTGCAGCTCCCTGCTGCAGGGTCGGGTTCTTACACTTAACACCAGCAGGGTCCTGCCACCCCTCTGAGGCTTTGCTGTGGGGATCCTATTGTCACAGGCCGGGGGTGGAGGGGAGGGAGCGTTCTGCTCTCTGTCACGGCCTTTCTGCAGTCCCTGCAGGCTGTTCCGGCCAGGCCGTGTGTGGGTCAGCAGGACTGGTTACCCGGAGGCCTGCTGCTGTGCAGGGGCTGCCTTGTGCGGTGGGCGGGAGCGGGGCGGGGGCCGGCCCAGGCCCTGTCTCAGGCCGTTGCGTGCCGCAGGTGCAGCCGCAGGACCAGAAGCTGAACGTGTACCACGCCTGGCTCCGGGACAACCGCCAGCAGCTCGGCGTGGGCTGAGTGCGGCCCCCGCGGCCGGGCACCCCGTGGCAGTGAGGCGCCCGGCAGTGAACGTTTTAATAATAAATAATGAATAAATCAATAAATAGATCAATAAATAAACAAATCAATGCCCGCCGCTCCCAGCCCCGTGTCGCTGTTTTTTTTTGTTGTTGCCGCCCCCGGGGCCCCGCGGCCGCCACCCCCCGGCGGTTCCCTGAGCCGGAAGCGGAGCCGCGCTACGTCACTTCCGGCGTGCCTCACGCGGCGGAGCCGGCACGCGGCGGGGGGGGCGGGCTCCAGCTGCGGCCTCGCGCATGCGCCGCTAGGGGGCGCTCCCGGGGCAGGGCACGGGCGGGAGCGGCCCGGGGCAGGTCCTGGCAGCTTCACAACCCGCGGGCAGGCGGCGGGGGGCGCGGGGCGGCACCGAGCCCCTCTTCCCGGGCGTCTCCCCCCGGAGCGAGCCCCCCGTTGGCCCCTCCCGGCGGTGGCGCTGAGCTTTGCGCGGCCCCGCGAGGGGGCGGTGCCCGCCCCGTGCATGCGCGTGGCGGTACCGCCCTGCCAGGACCTCCCCCCCCGCCCCATAAGGCCCCGCGGCGGCGCCGCCTCCCTCTCTCGGCGGGCCCGGCCGCGGCAGCGCGCACGGTGAGGCCCGGCCCGGGCCATCCGCGCCCATCCCCGCGGCCCGGCCCGGGCCCCCCGGAGCCCTCGCCCGCCGCCAACGGGACCGGGAGCGGGGCCGGCACCTCCCGGCGGCACCGGGCGGCGGGATCGGGGCTCGGCCGTGAGGTGGCGGGGGACGGGGGGAGGTTGGGGGGTGCCCGGCGGCGGGGGGAGGCCGGGCGGGGGCGGGGGCGCGGGGCCCTCCCCGGACCGCAGCTGGGGAGCTGCCCGTGCTCCGCCGGCCTCGGAAACGGGAGGCAGAGCGACGGCAGCGCCGCGCCCATTCCCCCGCGGGCCTCGCGGTGGCCGGCGGGGGAAGACGGCCCTGCCACAGCCACACGCGGCACCACGCGGGCGGCGCCTCCGCGCTGAGGCCCTGCTCAGCCGCCTCCCTCTGCCCCTGCCCCAGGCACCATGCCGGCCCTCAGGCCTCTCGTGAAGCCCAAGATCGTCAAGAAGAGGACCAAGAAGTTCATCCGGCACCAGTCTGACCGCTATGTCAAGATCAAGGTAAAAGCTCGCGGCAGCTCCGTTTGTTGAATGGCTTCGGGGAACTCGGCCGGGGCTGCCCTCAGGGCTGGGGAGGGTTAGGGCCGGGTGTTGGCGCTGTGGGTCGTGCTGTGGGGTCGGTAGCTTTGGATGCCCGTTTTGGCTAAAGCTGCTATTCCCGTGTGGGTGCTTCCAGACTGATTTGGTTTCTGAGCATCATTTTTTTCCCTATTCCTTCAGCGCAACTGGCGGAAACCAAGAGGTATCGATAACCGAGTTCGCAGGAGGTTCAAGGGTCAGATTCTGATGCCCAACATCGGTTATGGGAGCAACAAGAAGACGAAGCACATGCTGCCCACGGGATTCAGAAAGTTCCTGGTCCACAACGTCAAGGAGCTGGAAGTGCTCATGATGAGCAACAAGTAAGTCTGCGGTGCCACCCCGTAACGGTGCTGGGGGGAGGCAGAGGGGAGCACAGTCAGGGGCAGATGTACAGGGGAGACCTGGGAGGCTGCAGCTCCCAGAGCACAGGGGCTGCCTCAGTTTCCTAAGGGCTGCCATGCACCGGTGGGAGGCGTACAGAAAGCTGCTCGGGGCTGGCACGTTCACACCTGGTGAAAACACCGCGTTAAAGTGGTGCTGACAGCACTGGTTTGGTAAAACAGCATCAGCTGTGGCTTTGCATCTGTTAGGACACCAGCCTAAATGTCCCGCAGCCATCTACTTGTAGCACTGCTCCAAAGCAAAGTACCAAGTAATGCCGTTAGATCGCAGTGACTCCATTCAAGGCTAACGAGGCTGCTCTGCTCCCCGCAGGTCGTACTGCGCAGAGATCGCTCACAATGTGTCTTCGAAGAACCGCAAGGTGATTGTGGAGAGAGCAGCGCAGCTTGCCATCAAGATCACTAATCCAAACGCCAGACTGCGCAGCGAGGAGAACGAGTAAACGGCCTCCTGCGGCTGGGATGTATTTAATAAAGTGTGAACACAAACTCTGCTGAATGTTTTCAATGCTGCAAGGGGAGGCTTTGGTTTGCCAGCTCCTGGGGGCTTGGCCAGCAGAGCTGTGGCCCCACTCGCACCCACAGTTGGTGCCCGCCTGGCAGTGGGGTGGCAGCAATGCACGCTGCGCAGCTCTTGCTTTAAGGTACGGGGGCACTTGTACCTCAGGTGGGCTGGGGCCAGCTCCCCTTTCTGAGCATGGCCAAGGGGAAGGAACGGAATTCCTTTTGGAGCCTAAGGAAAAGTCACGTAGTGCTTTTTTTCCTTGTGCTTTAGGCTCCTGGTAGAATTGGTCAGAACGCATTGTCACTATGGCTAACAAATTGAGGAATGCACACAGCTCCACAGCTACATTTTTATTTTCAGATACCACTCAAACAGAAGGGATGTTCTTTCACACTGCACTATAAATACTTTTCAAATCACCCACTGCCAGAAATGGAGAAATGAAAGCTTGTTACAACTCCATGGCTTCAAGAAATGTGCCAGGGTAGTTTTGTTCTCTAATTTTCTGTTACATCCTTTCTGCCTCTTAAAGCTTTTTCCCTGTGCAAAGCTGCATTTGAACAAAACAGCCACTTTAGAGAAGGCTTTCAAATGACAGAAGAGTTGCTGTGACCATGTTCTGGAACCTGGCAACTGGTCTTCATCTCTTCTGCGATACGAGAATACTTCTGTGAACTTTGCTGTGAATGCTTCTGCTGCTGTGTCGTTTCATGACCAGCGTTCACAGTAGATCGGTGCTTTGGTGGCTGTCAGGTGAGAGAAACACCGAGCTGCTCCATGGGGGAAGAGGTCGGTGTTTCAAGTAAAGAAAAGCTCAGTGGGTGATTTATTGTAATACAATCAAGTAGTCTCTTTTTGGAAGACAGCTCGTTGAGGTATTGTACAGTCAAAACCAAGAAAACATAAGCAAGGTAGTTTCATATCACAAAAACACTGCAGAAATACTTAACTATCAGTACATATTTTACAAATTTAGCCCTGTGTGGGAAAGCTACAGCGCGATGATCAACTGCAGCTCGTGCAGCTCAGCTAACGCAGATCTCCTGCCTCTTTTTCAAGCAGGCCCTACCTCTGCTTGATGCTCATCAATTAGACATCTAGTTTTTAGCCAGCTTACTTAGTGAAACGATACAAATACATTCTTCAGGCAACTGGGGAGTAAAAAGTGCATATGCAGTGGTTTAAAAAATAAAAACAACAAAGGCTTTATTTCTCTGTACTGCAGTAGGGAAATACTGCAGGAAGTGGTTTCCATTTTTCATGGAACCATTCTGAATTCAGGTTGCTTCATAAGCCCTCTATAAGCTTGCTGAAGACGTAACGTAGGCGTCTTCTTCTCCCTCCCCTCCATATGGACACGCTTCCCTTGTTTTCCCCCACACAAATTCAGCCAGATGTCCCATGCTTTCAGCTATTTTCTCCCATCAGCACTCGATGACTTCCAAGGAAGGGGCTGTTGCAGAAGCTGACGTTCTCAGCCCCGTGTGGTGTATCTGCTGGGTTTCTGCACGGTGAGGACAGGAAGGTGACGGAGCAGACAAGCAAAACCTTAGCTCGTGTCCATCGATTCTGTGGCGGGTAGAGAAGCAGAATCCTTCTGAATACTTTCAAAAAGTGATGCCATTTCTGGATTGGATCTGATTTGAGATGAAAATTCAGCCATTGCTGGACTTTTCTCTACTTCGGGGATGGTCAGGAGTGCAGCCACTGCTCTCATTGCTGATCTCTTCAGTTCATCCTGCTTTTCAAACTCCTGTTTCACTGAACCAGCTTTTACCTAAAAATCCAAGGCCCCATTTTTAGCTGGGATTTAGAACAGGCACAGATACAGGCACAAAATCGAACACACCAGCAGGGACAGGGACAGGGTTTTCTGACCAAAGGAACGTGGGGCGAGGCTGCTCGGAAGCAGTGACAGGAACAGCACAGGTGGCAGAACCCACCCCTAGTGCGTCACTCTCTGATCTTACCTTTGTGGAGCACGTCGCTCGGAGCGGTTCGATCAGTCGCTCGAGCCTTTGCAGGACTGCATTAGGACAGAGTGTGGAGAGCCGAGCCAGCATGATGAAAGTCAGCATCTAGACAGAGGAGGGAGAAGAGGTGCTGCTTCACTACGCCCTCCAGTCCCCGACACAGCAGTGAACGTGCATCTGCTTCACCTGGGGTGTCACGCTGCCTGCTGCTTCCAGGGGTTTTAACAAGATTTTGGGCATTACTAGAAACGCACCTCTGAGCAGCCAGTGCACAACAGTAACCAGTTAGACTCTGGTCTCAGTTGTCCTCCTCTCAGGTGTCTGTAGAGCACTGACAGCTTTTGAGAGGCATTCACCACAGGGATTGTGCCACTGCTGCACCTCCTTAAGTGGAGGTAAATTAAATAGAATGAAAGGATATAGTGCTTCCTATATGAGCCCAGCAACAACACCTTTATTTTTTTGTATAGTATCACTGGCTGCACTAAGTAAATGCCAATTCCTGATATTCTAGACTTGGGTAGATTTCCTGTAAAGCCAGCTACAGCAGGGTTGCATTTTCAAGGCCACGACAGTGAAACTAGGGCTGGAAGATATCCAGATGAAAGCTGCAGCAGACATGGCAGGCACACTCCATGCCATGGTGACACATCAGCTCAATTTAGGCCCCAGTTCCCAGGAACTACCATCATTTCCTTTGCTGTCCTCCAGCAGTTCTGGCAAAGCCTCTACCCACCCGAATGTCATAGTGATCCTTCAGTCCATCCTCCACGTGGTTCAGATACTCGTAGATATCCAGCCGGTCAAGACAACTTTCCAGCAGCGTGTACATGCATTCAAAAGCAGCTTTCCTCACGTCAAGGCCATCGTCCACTGTGTGCTTGAATGGCCCCATTTCTACCTTAAACAAGAAAACAAAATACAGCTGCAACCTAACAGCAGACTGTGACAGCTCCATCTCAGCTGCACGTGCACCGAGTCGCTGCCGTATCGCACTCACGCCGCACTAAGGACATACCTCACGGATAAGTTCCCTTCTGACCTTTGTTTCACTATACAGGCTGGGGAGAACTGCATTTAGTAATTCCCGTATTAAAGAAGGTTTGTTGTGAGCAGCAGAATTAAACATGGCTAAAGCCACGCGTCGAACGTTCAGGTCTGAATCCTCAAGAGTTTTCAAGAAGTCCCCTGGGGGATACAAACACACCAGTTAGTCCTGCTGCAGTGTTTGAGAAGCGCTCGCAACTGACCCAAAGCCACGACAACGTGTTTTTGATGGAGCCTGGATATGACACATCTACGCCAAATAACTCTAGGGGCACAGTCTAACAAAGACATTAGAGATGCTTTCATCTGGGATATAGTAAAGGAAAGAAACAAGACGTTTCTGTATTTGGGCATAAAAGCAACCAGTATGATTCTAGCTACCACAGACCTCATCCTAAAGTCAAACCAGAAGCTTCAATATTCACAGAAGGTGTTCTTTCTTTCTTGCCCAGATCTAACTTGCTCAAATTAGACTTCTCTGAAACCCAGGGCCCAGTTTTATAAAACACATCCAAGATCCAGGCTCCCTAGCTATAAGGCCATTTTAATGTAGGTTACACTTTACAAGATCCCTGTCTGCATGATGCTGGAACCCTAAGTTTGAAAGTGTGGGGATCCTATGCTCCCTGAAAATGTCACCAATGGAACATGCCCAAGAGCGTTTAACAAGGATCCATGACAGTCCTCCTGAATGCCAAAAGCAGAGAAACACAGAGGAAAATTAACTGGATTAGAGGAGGTTCAGATAGATGGGAAAAATCCCTGAGCTGCTACACAAAACCAGCACCTGTTTCCAGATTACACTGTGCTTTGCACTAGCCTACCTATGCAGCTTTTCAGGAGAGCATCAATGGGCTGAGGCTGATCTGCAATTGTGAATTTCACTGCAGTTACCACTGTGCTCCGGGCATGTGGAGAGCCTGTGATGAAGATGGAAAGAGAAAGACTGTGACAGGTCAATGGACAAAAATCACTACTGTAATTTTGTAGCATACTCTGCTCTCAGTCTCATTACAAGCACCCTGAAAACAGAAGAGAACAGAGGATTTGCCTTAACAACCCCTTTACTTAAAACCAGTCCCAGCACAATCTCTATGTGCAGTCCCTGTTGCCAACACCCTCCTGCATCCCATGCAACCCAGTGTTCCCTTTGATCTCCCTCGCAAAGATCCCTCATTTCCTCCTCGCCTCTACAGACTGGCTTTGCTCCCTGTTGTACCCACCAGCAGTTTACAAAAGAACTTTCCAGGAAGAAAAAAAAGGTATTTCCCTACTCTCAGCAGTGCTCCTCGTCACACTACCTGATGACAGCTGTTTTTTCAGCCGGGGCAGCAGCTCAGAAGGATTCACCAGAGTCAGCTTCCCCAAGCATTCAGCCACCACGTTGCGCGTCCCTTCTTCCGTGCACTCACAGTGCTTGAAGAGCAGAGCCCAAATGTCCTCCACGTATGGTTTGAGGCCGTCGGCTGGAGAGGAGCTGATGACTTCCTTTAGAGAGTGCAGCAGGAGGTACTGCCTCTTGGGCTGGCTTCCAATCTCTTTCAGCATGAAGGGAAGATACTCCTTAAGATTCCCAACGCTGATGTTCCCCAGCGCGTAGGAAGCTGCAGATTTCACCTCTTCGCTGGGAGAAGTGAATGCCTCCAGGATGACAGTTTTGAGCTCTTTCTGAGCACTAAGGTTCATTGTGCGCCCCATCTCTGCCAGGGCAAGGAAGGCTAGCACTTTTACAGCAGGGCTGGACTTGGGGCTTTTTACATCCTGGATAAACTGGTTCAGTATCCCAGGGGCTTCTTTGGGGCAGGCTGAGGAAAGGGCTGCCACACACTTCGCGACAGAGTAATACGCCTGCTTGTGTAACGTCACTGACGCCCCAGCTGACCCCGAGGAGTAAATTGGTGCAGTCAGCTGCTTCATCAGCTCCGAGCAGCCCATGGCGGCTGTCTTTGTCAGCACCAGCGCCTGGAAGAAGTCTATGATAGCGTTCAGAGCCCCTCCTTGAAGCAAAGGTGAGTGAACAAGCTGAAGGATTTCAGTAAGAATGGAACCACTGATCTTAGAGATACAGGATGGATAGACTTTAGCTAAAGTAGTAAGGAATGTGATTGCCACCTGGGAAACATGCATGTCGTTCTCACTAATTAAAGCGGGGAGCTCCATTAGCACAGACTCTATCATGGCAGGCTTGAGGCTGTCACTGTAGTTCTTCACCAGGATATCCAGAGCAGTCAGAGTGCTCAGTTTCAAGGCACGTTGATTCTTTCTCAAAAAGGAAGCTAAAATGGGGAAACCGTCCCCTAAAATAGGTCTCAAGTCTATTTTAAGTGGAGAACTGGCAATTAGGGTTAATGCTTTGACTGTTGTCAATCGGGTAATTTCATTTTTGAGCCTCTCCAGAAATATCTTCAAAGTTGGCTGGAGATCAGTGCTTAAATGATCTCCCAGATTGTAAATGATTTGTCCCATGCACGAGATGGCGCGCTCCTTCACCTCCTGGTCAATGTCAGCTGCCTTCAGTCGCTTCAGAGTACCAGGGAAAAGGTCCTTCACATATGGCTTGGCATCAAAAGTGCAAGATTTGCCCAAAGGCCTGATAACTTTCACAAGTTGCTGAGTAACCAGCAGAGCCTCTGAAGTGATCTTATAGAAGGAGTCTCCAATACAGGCCACAACTGGAGGTAACAGGCTTTTGATATGAGGATGAAATACCTCTGGCTGGTGTTTGCAAAGAAGAACATGAAGGAAAGATAGCGTATCAATTCTCATGTTGGAGGAGCTGGATTTATCAGCCAATGAGAAAACAATACCTGTGCAGAAGAGACAAGAAAGAATGCTGCCTTATTTCATTAAGTGCTCTCAATCAGAACAAATAAACAAGCAAACAGGAAAGGAACACAATTGGAATCTGTTTTCTTTCCTTCCTCTGCTCACACAAAAGGTATGTACCATTAAAGAGAGCTACTATCCTTACAGTCCTTTTTCTTTCAGGGAAGTGGCAATTCAGACATAAATATTCTTTGTAGCAGCCATGGAGAGCTGGCTACACAACCATTTAAAATTCTGTTAGAAAAGTTATCCTGGGCTGAGATGAGGAGGGGTTGCTAGTAAGGTACAAATAAACAGGAGAAAAGTGGCATGAAATTAAGACTGGGAAAATCTAACCTCAACAGGCACTCCATACAGCTGTAATGTCCTTTCATGTTTATTTCCTTTACTCTTCCGTGGGAAGTGTTTTGATTTTTTTTTTTTTTTAAGGAAAAAAAAGAGGCAGGGACTTTTACTTTTCTCTGGTTCAATAGATTGACTGCCTCTGTAGAAGTGACATACTTGCAAGTCCATTTTCTATGGCCCGTATTTATGTTTCCTTAAAGACTTAATCAGGAATGTTTACAACAGCACTGTTTGCCATCCCAGAAGTTATGCTTGACTCTTGGTTTGAATGCTTTTTGCAATCTATTAATTCACGAGAGAGGTGCATGGCTTGGGCCCAGGAACAATCACAGGAGACCTTTTCTATATTTACTAACACAGACAGTCCAAAAGCCAAGACAAAACTTCGGTATTGTGCGCCTTTCAGCAGTCTGGGTTGCTCCATGAATCTATGGGAAAGGAAAGCTCTGTGGAAAATATGGGAGTGCACATAAAAGCTTCAGTCAATACATTTTTTTTAATGCCACTCTATTTTGTAAAAGAAAATGGCACGTGTTACTGATTTCAGCATGCTAGCAGTGTAATCCCAGCTACTTTCAAAGGAGGCTGGAACAGGCCCTCCTAAAGGTGTCTCTTCTGGGGACTGTTGCAATGAACTTGATATCCTGTCTGTCAGCAGTCAACAGAAACAATAATTTATCTGGAAACTGTTTAGTGTATCAACAAGGAGCAGAACTTGATGTGTATGCCTTGAAACTGAACAGAGACAACAGCGAGGAATAAAACATGCACCTTAGAAGAATACAGGTTACACTATGAACTAACAGAACCAACCCCACTCCTCCACCCACAAACCACAGATAAGCTTTACCAGGCACCAGTGCAGGGATGTGATCCGCCAGGCAACCAGGAAGAACATTGGCCAGTTCTGTCAGCAGGCTGAAACAACCCTGTCTTGACTTGATGCTCTTTTCTTTAAGCTGCTTATGTAAGGCCTTGACAATGTTGGGGACCTGCAATTTGGAAAAGCAAACCAGAAAGAAGCACATCAGCCATCCCAGCTGCCAGGGCACAGAGCTACGCCGTCAGAGCAGCTTGCTCAGCTGAGCCAGGGGCACTAAAAGCAACAGAACTGAACAGAGACAGCAAGAAACAACGCAATTGCTCGTTAGAGGAGAATGGACTAGGTAGGGAAAGATTACAAGACAGTTCATGTGGACAAGAGATACATGAAGTAATGAGCAGGAGGGACTTTATTCTACTCTTCCACATTCTACAAACTGAATCATGAAGTTGGTGTTATTCCCTAACAGAGAAGATTGAAGAAATACAGTAAGATCATCATTTTACCCCAAGATTAATGTGTCACACAGTCTGCAAATGTGTCAGAGGCTACCCGGGGGGGGATCATGGAGATTATACCTCAGTGCTCCTGCACTGGCTCAAAGCTCTCTCCCCAGGAACAGTGGGAAAAACCATGAACTATTCACCCCTGGGATCTGGTCCCCTCTGGTTGTGTGCCAAAGGGCTCCTTCAGCTGTGCTCTACAACTTGCCTACTAGGCATACTCATCGGTGGCACAGTATCTACTTCTCTTTATTGCTTTCTGATTTAATGCAGCCCACCACCTCCTCACGCACCTGGTTCTGAAGCATCGTCAGGGGAACATCGTCTTTGCCAGAGGCATCTGCAGCATGCCGCCAGCTCTGGGTGGGCAGCGTTTGTTTCAGCAAGGCGATATAAGCACTGAAGATGTCAGCTTTGACATTCTCCTCCCTCTCCTTGAACCTGCTTATCAGAACTGGGGAAAGCGTTTTGTAGAAATCCTGAAGCAGATCGTGCCTGCTGCTGACAATGGCCTCCAGGCACTTGGCTGCAGCCCTGCGGACCTTCCAGCTGATGTCATCATCATCGCTGTACTCATCGTCGCTTTCTGGAAAGAACACAAGGGAGAACAGGATGCACCATGAGGAGAAAATCAGAGCTAGAGGGTCACTTGGTGCCTCCAAGCTTCCCTCTCCAGCCACCAGACAGATACCAGTAACTCACACTTATCTGGGAACACAGAATTGCCTGCCCATACAAACATTACAGACAGCAGGTAGGACTCGGGACTGCCCTGTGCTGGTGTCAGGTTCTTCTGTCCCAAGTAAGAGCTGACAAAGAGCAAACCTCAATATCACTGCACTTACTGGTGAAGCCACTTCGGCTCAGGCATCAAGGCTTTTGTTCTGAAGGAAGAACGAGGTTCCCACATTTTTAAAGCCAGAAATACATAAATATTTGTCTTAGCAATCCCTGAATGGCACAGAGCGGCATAACAATTTACAGTGCAATTGGCAGAACACTCTCCAGGCAGACAGCCAAGACTGTGCCCCAATTAGCATGAAAGTAAACAAAAATGCCTCTCTTCCAGGGAACTGGTTCTAGCTGTTGCCCTTAGCTGTCACACTTTATGCAGCTATAAATAGCAACATGAAATGCTCTCTCCAGCTAACAGGCTTTAAACACAGACCTCTCATCTCACCAAGTCTGGATATCCACCTCAAACTGAACAGAGTCTGAAAATAAACAAAAGACCCCTTTTAAGACGGTTATCAGAGTGCTTTCGCTGATGAGTGATGTTTTTAAAGGTGACACCTTCAAGAGTTCAGGACTGTAGCTTTGCTTTTTTCTGCTACAAAGTAGTACAAAACAGTTACCTTATAGTACAAACAGAATTGTGTGGCTAAAATATTTGTAGGCTGAGTTACTGCACTGAAACTCTTAGATTGAAATTGCAAATAGCTCTGTATCTCTTCTTGCCAAAAAAAAAAAAAAAAAAACACCAAAAAACAGTCTCACAAACAACAGAGCTTCTGTAGCCTCCAGCTGACTGCAAAGTGAAGCGTTGGCTGCCCGCTGTTTTCAGGAGCAGCGTGTATGTGCTGAAAGCAGCCTAGAAGATGCAGAAGCAAGAGGAAGCAACCCAGAAACCAAGTAAAAGCTCCACATTGACAAACCTGGCAGGGGTGTTGGCTGCAACAGCCTGGGAGCAAGGAATACTTGCCTGACCTCCCCTGTGATCAGGGAAAACAGGAGTTTGTCCAGCCTTGTAAATAAGTGAGACCGCACCAAAGACACCCAATGCCTTTTGGAACTCAAGTAAGCTGCAAACGCTGGCTGGTGCCTGGTTAAAAGGGCTGCAGCTGAACTTGGTGCCACCAGCAGAAGCTCAGAACCAGAGAGCCTTCAAGAAGGACAGCCCCTGCAGGTCACACAGCAGCCTGGAGCAGCAGCCCGAGGCTGCCACCTCGCAGGGCACGAGGAGTGCCTCTAACGGTCAGGATGGCCGAGCTGCTCCTCGGGATCGCCGGGCACCAAACCTGGCTGCTTGCTGTGCGAGCTCTGAGACTGCTGCAGCCAGCGGGGACAGGAAAGGCAAAGCTCCCTCCACCTAGCTCTCCACTAAGCTAGTTCAGAGCACTGGTTTCAGAGCTTTCCCTGTTTCCAAACACAGGCGGAGACCTGAGGTGCTTGGCAGAAAAAAAAAAACAAACTATCAAGTTCAGAATTGTTGTTGGAACTTTGCACCTACAGCTACGTTATCCCCATTGGTAAACTGAAATAACCCATTCAGCACAACTGCCTGGACACAGATCTTAAAGGAAACATCAGAGAGGGGGACAGCGCGCAGGAAGGGGAGAAATGTTAACCAGTGTTCTGCTGAGCACAGCCATCCTCACAAGCAGGCACCTTGCTCTTCATCCTCCCCATTTTCAGTTTCCATCCTCTCTTCCTCTTCCTCCTCCTCATTATCGTAGTTGTAGTTTGGGTCAAAGGTGATGTACTTCAAACATAACCCCATCACACTGGGGATGTGAGGGTCAATCTCCTTTGGGCACCTATCACAACAAATAAAAATACTGAGAGTTAATAAATCAAATAATAAGCAATTTTAAATACCCAAATAACACAACCCATCTCAAAAGGATCCCAAAATGTTTCATGGACTATTTAAGCATTTTGCTAACATGAGTTAAAGCAGAGCTGCTCTCACTGTGCACAAAGCAAGGCCGTATTCTCCCGGGAAGGATGCAATAATTTCTATAAGGGAAAAAAAAAATAGCTTTCACCACCTGGTCCAGTCCTCCCTTATGAGAGGAAACCTCAGGAGCTCTGAAGGGCTCCTTCTCCAAGACAAGCACTGAACTTTTGACCAAACATCAGGAAAGCTGCAGCTCAGCAGCTCCTCTCCTTGAGCCCCTTTCCTGCCTCCCACTCTCTCCACACACCAGGAACGAGGCAATTCCCTCTTCCTGAGGAATCCCCCAAGGACAAGGAGAACTTGTCCTGCTCCTGCAAAGCCAATACAGAAACATGCTCTCGCGTGTGGAAGTAAAATGGCTCGTAACTCATGTCCAACTCTGCACGTGAAGAAGAGATTTCATTTGTGAACTCCTTCCCCGCAGGAAGGCAGGCACTCAGCCCTGGATGCTGAAGTACAGATGTTCACACCAGGAGGACACCGATGCACAGGATGGTGCACGGCTGTTCCCCCAGGGCACACACCTTCTTACAAAGGACTCGAAGGCCTGGAAGCAGTACTCCCTCAACTCATCATCTTCCACGTTACAGTACTGAACAATCAGAGGAATTATCTTCTCCAGATGTTCTCCTGGGAAAGACAAAGCAAGCAGCAATAAAATACATCACAGCGGACACGTATCCAAGCTGCCCATAGCTCAGCCATCTGCCACTTCCTTCACGTGCCTGGCAGAGCATTCCTCCTCTGCATCTCTGGGGAAAGGAACCAGCAGCCCACCAAAAACCAGCCTGAAAGGGATTTTTAGCAGGTGACCCTGCTCGCTGTCTTCAGTTCTTTGTTGGCATTTCAGTCACGGAAAGAGCTGTGCCTAGAAATCTTCTAGGGCTGAATGTCGCTTCTGGCAGATCTTTTAGACAAGCAATCAAATATGCTGCCTTCCATTCAGCCTCTTATTTAAAGCGGGATGAATCCACTGACCTAATTCACAGGGGCATTAATTCAGACCAGGAAAGTGCTGAAGACCTTGGGATGAAATGCACTACGGAAGGGCAGCCACAGAGCTACTTTGGTGTCTCCTCTCCAAGTGGAGGTCAAAGCCAGATGAGAACCACAGAGGGAACCACAAAGCACAACCCCCTAACACCTCAGGAACAGCGAACACACTTCTTTTATGCACATTGCCCAGTACCACTTCAAGCTACTTGTCCTACCGATGCGGTGTCCAGCCTGCCTACTGATGCCAGCGATGCACTGGATGTATGTCCTGGTAGTCGAGGTGGACTCATTCTTCTTCAGCTCAGCGAGGAGATGCTCTGTGAGCTCCGAGAAGATGTTCCCACTGCAGGTCAAGACAAGATGACCCAAGGCAACGATGGCCCTTTTACGCACGGCCAGCCGGGGGCTCGTCAGCTGAGGCAGGAGGCAGCTCAGGATGGAAGAATGGAAAGAGTAGAGAGTCCCCCCTAGCCTGCAAGCAACGGAACAAGACGGAAGCTGAAAGTCAACGTGTCAGAGGAAAAGCTTCCTTGCCAGCAAAAAATGTAAAAAACTCTTCAGCCATAAAGATTTCACACAGCAGGAAGGAGAGGAAAAGGGTGGTTTTGGTGTTCTGCACAACACGGGGAGGGGTTATTTGCATTCATCATGGAGTATTTTGATTTTGGCTGTGTCCTTCTGGGTGACCTGGGGGCTTGTCAATAATTTCCTGCATGCAGTTGACATATGACACTGCCACTCTGACTTATATAACAAGAGAGAGAGGCAGCCAGGAAAAAAAATGCATGCGCAATCAGATCACAGGGCTAAAATAAACTTCCCTGGCTTGCCCTCTCCCTCCTGACACTTGCTTAAACTTAAACTGAGTCTCTGTGGGATCTCTCACCACTGTTACTGCTATTCCCAAGCACAGTAGGGCTCAAAATGTTGTCTCTCATCCCCGCTGAGGAATCTGCTCTGCTGAGACATTCCCCTGTGGCAGGCAACCAAATCCTTTAAGTCCTCGTAGTAAGATTAGGGAAATACAGAAATCAAAAGCAAACACATACAGAGCAGCCCCCTGCCGTACACAGCTGCCAAAGGAAATCCTTTGGTACCTGCTCAACATGTCTGACAGGATGTCAAGAGCCTCCAACTGCACGGATATATCCTCCTGCTTGCCAATGGCTCCTGTCAGCTGGGCCGTGATCTTTTTGCATACATTTGCTGTCATGGTGGAGCCTGCAAGAGAGAGATTTTTCCCCACTGACAGTTAAAAAGAAATTTTTATGCTGTTAAGAACCATTCAACCCTTCCTACATTTACAAACAATAAAAAAGCAACAAATTAGGGTGAAGGAAGCACACAGGGAGATGTCCAACCCTCTATTTTGCAGCAAACCAACACTGCTGTTGCTGCCTTCTACCCACACAGTGTCAATCCCAGCCCCTAAGGAGATGATTTATCTGTCGCTACCCTGCAAGTTTCAGTTCATGTGATGTATGTTAAATAAAGGCTTCTGAAAAGATGCCTCTCAAGAGCTTCACATTTTTGCAGAATCTGAGAGAGGGGTTCAGCAAGTATTTACACACTAATTCTCATTCTCCTCCCAACTTCCAAAGCAGGCCAGCAGCACTGCCACAGCCACAGCCACGTGAGATGGCTGCAGAGGAAACTTAATTCTTTGGAAGCCTTGGGTATCTCCTGAAAAGCTGCTGGATTTTTGGAATACTTAGTTCCAAGTGCAGGAGAAGCAGACAGGGCAGCTGTGGCAGCCAGAAAACCTGGTCCTGCAGGGCTGCAGACAGGAGGTGGTGCAGTGCTGGCACTGCTGATGTCGAGACCAAACGGCCCTGCCAGGCTGCCTGAGCGGCGGTACCCTGACACACCGCGTGCTTTAGGATTGCCATGAACAAGAATGATTTTCTCCAAGAGCTCAGATGTGCTTTCAGGCACAGGCATCTTGCAGGGGACCAGTTCAAGAGTCCTCATTTCATCCAATCTTTATCACATTTCTAACCCAACTTCTGCTGTCCTTCCTCCTTACGGTATTCCTTGCCCTCCAGCAGGTGAGTGAAGGATTTGGCACTTTCAGGCTCCGAACTACCCGTTCTCCTGTCTCCCAAGGGCTGGGGCTCCCTGCTGCCTTGTCTTACCTGTAGCAGCTGGTGGCAGCTCGGAGATGACTGTTTTCAGCCCGATGCTGGAGATGTCCCGCAGCTGCTCCTTGTCTGACAACATGTTGGTACACAGCGTGTCCACAATGGTTTCCACCTGGTACTCCTTCACCTTGCCAACCAGCGGGCCCAGGCTGCAGGAGGAGAGGCCAGTCAGAACGAGCAGGAAGAAGGCTGCTTCCAGCACCACCAAGTGATGCTCGGGCACACTCTTCCTTATGGGCATCTCAGTCCCAAGTGCAAATATTCCCGTAATATCTGCACTGAGTACTGATATCCCAGAGCCCACGTCACGTCCCTAGGCTTACGCACCCTGTGCTGTTGCCTCAGTTAACTCAGCCTAAGACTTCAGTGGATTTTAGATCAGATTTGTAGGATAGTTCACATAACTACTGCAAACATAAAGCCAATTAAGATCTTAGAGGAAGGAGCTATTTGAGCTAACCTAAGGAACACAAAAAGCATTGCTTCCCCTGGATGTTCTGCTCCCCTTGCTAAGGAATTGCTGTTGCACATACAAAGCCGGCTGCCAGAATTTTCATGACAGGCCAGCACAGATGAGCGGGAGCATCGCAGAGCACAGAAAGTTTAGCCTTTGTTTCAGTGTGCATCCCAGCAGGAATGCTGAGCCCCATTTCGATCCTAACAACACATCACTCCCCTACAGCCGGAATGAGCCTGCCCGCAGCTCCACAGCACGGCAGCAGCACAGGCCCTGAGCCCCAGCAGTGGTGCTGCTCCTCCTCTCCCACTGAACCACCCGCCTGGGTGAAGAACTGTCGCCCTAGGCCGGAGACTAACGCCCCCGGGTGTAACGTCTGGGCATCTTCTGATGTTACTTTGGAAGGATTTGCACCTGCACAGATTCCTGACAGATGCTACAGGTCCCTTTCTACTTCCCACCAGTGGTTACCGCTTTGCTGGGAAGCAGCTACTCGCTGTAGCATGGGGTGGGGGCTGCACCCCAGTTTCTGTCAACCTCAGTCACTGCATGCTTGCTGCTGGTCTTGTGGGCACTGGTCAGAACCCAGTGACCTGAACTGTACAATGCACATCCTTCCCTTTGGCTTCAGGAAACACAGGAGGGTTGAACAGCTCTCTGGTGTTCACGTGCAGCACAACCACTTCTATAAGCACAGTTCTGCAGGTTTGGAAATCCCACCATGCTCAGGTTTGGAAACCCCACCATGCTCCTGTTCTAGCACAAAAATACATTCAGATAACCAGCTCATGAACGTTTCATTTTTTCTCCCTCTCTCAGTATGCTGTCCACGCAGCCAGGTTAAAATGGAAAACAGAGCAAAGGAAAGGATTAAGCTGCCTTTTGGGAGTTTTGCTTTTCCTTTTTTTTTTAACACACTGTACAGAAAAGTGGGACTAGAGCACACCACCACTACCACATCAATGCCTGGCAAGCACTACATGCACAGCACTTCCCAGGGCACACAACCACAGCGTGCTTCGTGTAAGACTATTGTTACACTGACAAACCACGACAGGAATAGCTTTTTAGAGTCTGAGTAGCTTCTCTGAAATACAATAATTAGAAAATAAGAACTTAATAATAGGACTTTGTGCAAGTGCAAATGGTGTTCACCTTTATGCCTCAAAGTACAGACCAGAACAGACGGGGACCCTGAAAGCACAGAGAAGCTGAGGAACTCACCTCAACTGAAACAAAACACAACACAGAACTAGAATCAGGTTTTCAGATGGATTTCAAATTTGTTAATTTACTGGATGCAAAGTGTGATTTCAGATTTCCTCTGAAAGTTTTAGATAACAGAATCAACTGCCAGCATCCTGCAGAATGTCGCATTTCTCCTCCTGGCTGGGTATAACTGACTGCACGTGACTGTTAAAAGCACTTCCTTAGGTACAAAAAGGAAATAGATCTGGTTTAATTTTGACGTTTACTTTCTAATGATCACATTGTAGATGAATATGGACTTATTCCTGATGCAACCACAGATAAATAGGCAAATAAATTTATCTTTTGTTTAGTGCCCAACCGTTTTGCTTTACAAAACAAAAGAACCAAACCCGAAGCTGGTAGAGACATGAAGAAGGCCAAGAAAGTTGGGGAAAAAGTCAGGACAGTCGGAATCAAAAAGAAACAGCCAAAGGTCACAGGGAAAGTACAGGGATAGAAGTAGCATGACAGAAAAGAAGGGAGTATGACTAAGATCCACAGTTGGAAAAAATACAGGAACCCAAAGTTGTCTTTAAATGGCCCACCTTTCTGGAGCCCTGTGCGTGAACTGACCCATTCAATTTCATTTCTAGAATGAACACTCCCATTTAGACATGCTGGGGGAAAGAGACAGGAGAGAACATGTCAGCACTAGGATCACTTCACCAGATGATTGATTAATAATGGAACCTCCTGCCTTTTCCATTTGGGTTGAAAAAATATATCCAAATGGTTCAAAGCAAAGAAACAGCACAGACTACTCGAGTCAAAGTAGGGAAAAAACAAAAAAAAAACAACAAGCAGTGCTTTGTAAACTTTAATGAAAATGCCCTTGAAGGACAGGATTGGGACCTGGGATTCAACTGCCATTTCTGAAGGGCCACACACGTCATCAGCTTAGTACCATCTCTAACAAAGACAGGACCACCAGGCAATTCAGCACTGGATCTCAAAGCCCAGAAAAGGAGGGGAGGGGGAGCCTGATGTCTGATATTTTAGGCTGAGCTTGTCTCTGCAGAAATAAAATTTTAGTCATAATATTTTCAAGATGGTAAGATTCATAATACGAACACTGAACGACTTCCAAAGTTGCCTACTGCTTGTGCACAGGTATCTGTGTGCTCACCCTTTCTGAATCCTGACAGAGAAAGCGACTGCCGTGCCTGCAAGCACAGCGAGGGGAAGCCCCTACAAAGGGAGGCTGGAGCAAGGTGCCAACGCTGCAGGACGAGGCTGCGCTCCAACACACCCTCTGGAGTCTGTGACGGCTTTGTTATTGCCAAGGAACACGGTAACTGATGCCAAGGCACTTACCACTTCACAGCGAGGTTCTGTACTTCCCCATTTTTGTCCTCCAGCAATTTCAGAAGCATTTTCACAACTTTTTTCTCGCTGTCTTCATCTAGTTTTATAGAATCTTTCTGCAGTTCCATCATCAGGTCATTGGTGGCCATAAACCTGAAGGAACAGAGGACAAGTGGATCAGCTGGGAGGCACAAACACACCTCCTTCACGTGACAGCGACCAAACAAACATTTCTGATTGCACTTTTGTCTTCCGTGAGCAAAACCAAGCAAGTATCTATTGTTCCAGCTCTGAATTAAGAACAAAATCTCAGCTGGCTGTTAGTCAATATAGTTTTCTAACAGGCACAAAGTGAAAATGGATGTTGAGGAGTTCTGGTAAGTGTCTGTTTTCCTGGGAGCAAGGAAATGTAAGAGGAGCTAGCACAGAAGCCGGGGTTCTGAGAGCCGTCAGTCCTGTTACCGCACATTAACTGTGTTAACGTTGGGCTCGGCGCAGGGCTGGGTGTCTAAGGGGAGCCAAAGCGCAGCTCTCCCCTCTCATTTCCCAAAGGACACATCCACTTTAAATCAGGCGTTGATGTAACCCATTCAGCACCTAAGAACAAACGCTGCCCTGGTGTACGAGGCCACCTTCAGCGCCCAACGAGGCTGTCCCGGAGCGGCAGCCGAGGACAGGGAGCGAGGGCTTCTGCGGTACCGACCCGCCAGAAACCCTGAGGAGAAATCCTGCGGGGCGCTGCCCTGCACCCGCCGCGCCTCCCGGGCCGCTGGGGGAACCCCCCGCCCGCTGACCCAGCGGGGCACAGCCCGCCCCGCACGGCCCCGTCCCGTGGCTCCGCACCTGAAGTCCTTGTCGCTGGAGGCCATCTTCTCCAGCAGCCCGGCGATGTGGAACGAGGCGCTGCACATGGCGCCGGCCGCGAAGATGGCGCCGGGCCCGGCCGCGCCGCGACCCCCGCCGCCCGCTCGGCCCCGCAGCCCCGCGGCGCTGCCCGCGGCACCCGCCCGGGAGGGACCCGCGCCTCAGCGGGACGGGACGGGACGGGACGGGGCGGGACGGGCGCTCCCGGGGCCGTGCCCTCCGTCACCCGCCGCCCCCCGCCGTTAGCGGCAGCCCCGGGCAGCGCCGTGCCCGCGGGGCCGTGCCCGTGCCCGGCCGCTGGGGGAGCGAGAGCGGCGCGGGGGGGGGGGGCGGGGCCTGGGCGCGGGCGGAACCCGGCGGCGGGGAGCGGGGAGCGGCGGGGCCGTTTGGGGGCCGGACCGGAGCCCGGCGCTGTGCAGCGCCCCGCGCCCTGCCACGTCGGAGCTGCGCGGCCGCCGGGCGGGCTGCCCGCTGCCAACAACAACATGGTACCGCCGGGACGGGACGGGACGGGGCCGGGACCCTCGGGTGGGATAGGGGAGAGGAGGGGAGGGCGGCGGGGTGAGCCGGGGCCGGGGCCGGGCCGGGCCGGGCCTGGGCCTCTGCGGGCTGCCGGCACCGGGCCCCGAGCCCCGAGGCCCGGGCGTTGTCTGAGCGCGTCCGTTCCCCGCAGGTCTCCGTGATCAACACCGTGGACACCTCCCACGAGGACATGATCGTGAGTGCGGCCCTGCTGCCCCCACCGCCGGGAGGCGCGGCCCGGGGCCTGGGGGCTGCCCCTGCCCTGCTGAGCGCGGCTGGGAGCGGAGCTGGGGGGGCGCGGAGGGCTCCAGCGCTGAACGCCTCCGTGCCCGGCCCCGCTCGTGTGAAGCGAAACGCACAGGAGCAGGCGGGGCACAGCCCGGGGGGGGTTTGGGGGGGGGGCAGCCGCTGTGCCAGTGCCCAGGTGTGGCTGGGAGCGGACACACGTGTGTGAGAGGGAGGATTTCAAAGCAACTTGTAAACGCAAGGACTGCGCTTAAATAATGGCATTTCAAGCCTAAATAAGGGTGCAGCATTTTTACACCAATGTTACATGACTAGAAACAAAGGTACATTCGGTGGTGGGGGCCTTAGGCCCAGAGGCCCCACAGCCCTGTCCTGGGGTGCAGTGTGTGCCCACCGCCTCCATGGGCTCTGGCCACGTAACGATTGTGTAGTGAGAACAGCGGCTGGGGGAGAAAACACCCGTGCTTCACATAGATTGCTTACAAGCTATCCTCTTTAACCTGTCGGGCTGAGACTTGGTGATCTTTTCACAATTTGTAGAGCTACTTTTAAAACGTAGGAATACTCATTAAGAAAGCAGAAGCTGGGTGTGCTGACAGCACCTCTCATTGCCTTACAGCACGATGCTCAGATGGATTACTATGGCACCCGGTTAGCGACCTGCTCTTCAGACAGATCCGTAAAAATCTTTGATGTTCGGAACGGAGGGCAAATCCTCATCGCTGACCTAAGAGGGTAAAGTGTCTTAAAAAGAAGTGGAAGCAGAAGTTTTTAGCGTTTTGTCGTTTTCCCTTTTGGTAGCATCAGATGCACGGTAAATCCCTCTGGGGTAGTTCTTCCTGTTGCTGAATAACTGTTGGGAGCTGTGAGAGGGAACAGAGAGCCAGTTAAAAGTACAACTGCTTTTCTGATTCATTGCCAGCTTAAGACTTGTAATTTTCTACAAGTAAGCTCACCATCTTAATTGCTAGCATAAGGATAAATGGTTGGAGTTGTTTTCCATGGTAGTGGCTTTGCCCGCAGCCTTACATGCTATTTTTCATCTTGGTGTTACTCGTGTTCTTTGTGTCACTGTCCCAGCCCTGTGCAGAGCACCAGTTCACAATACGATGGCTGTCAAACAGCCACAACTGGAATTCGTTTCTCTCAGCTTTGTCCAAACAATGCTGTTTCTTGCAGGCATGAAGGTCCAGTGTGGCAAGTTGCATGGGCTCATCCGATGTATGGAAATATCTTGGCTTCCTGTTCCTATGACAGGAAGGTCATTATCTGGAAGGAAGAAAATGGCACGTGGGAAAAGACATACGAGTACACGGGGCACGACTCGTCAGGTGCGTGGTGTCTGGAGCTGGGATGTGAAACTGGGGTTATGAGGAGGGTTGGGGTTGGAATAAATCCATCGTTGTTAAGGAAGAAAGCCTCTTTCAGACAGACTGGTAGATTAATGGAGAGGCAGTAAGTCTACTCAGCACGGGGGAAACATTGATGTAGTGGCATACTGCAGGATAAGCTGCCTTGATTCATACAGTGTGTGTATAGGAGTTGTTTTTACAAGGAAATCTGTTTCAAATAAGACAGGGTAGTGAATTGTTGAGGCAGTATCGTATGCACTGTGGGAAGGAAGGAAGGAGGGAAGGACTAAGCTGAGTTTTAGCATGCTGTGTTTTGTTTTCCAAGAGAGACTGTCTTGTTGAAATCATCGGTCTTACTGCAGGCAAACTTGAGAAGTCTCCACGTTTCTTAGTATTCCAAAGCCCACTGATACTGGCCACCTGACAAGGGAAAGAGAGACATGTCTTGCTCAGTATTACCCTCAAAGGCATTGACTAGAACACTTTTAATCCATGCTTCTGAGGCCAGGCCTGGATTAAAAATGAGAAAAGGGCTTTTTCTTTGATACACACCTTTTGTTTGGTTACAAAACTAGACTTCCAATACTATGCTAGGCTATCAGCTTTTGCTCTAGAGCCAGTGATACTCTTGATATTCTTGCAGAGGATAGGCAGAGTTTTTTATCTCATTAAAAGTGCTGCATTGATGGTCTCTTTCAAAAATGGGGCCAAAATCAAAGGCAGTTTTCCATTATTCACTAATATTAGCCAGTGATTTGGTTAATCTTAGTCACTGTGTTACAACCCAGTCTGTCTCACCCCTCAGTGAACTCCGTCTGCTGGGCGCCACACGACTACGGATTGATACTGGCCTGCGGGAGCTCTGACGGAGCCATTTCGTTGTTGAGCTACACAGGTGACGGGCAATGGGAAGTCAAAAAGATCAGCAACGCACATACTGTAAGTCTGCGTCTTCGGAGCAGTGCAGAGTTCTTGGAGCTACGGATGATGTGTAGGCTGGATAAATACTGAAATACAATGAAATGTGAAACGTTCTCCAAAATCAAAACCAACTCGTTTTAAATAAATCCAGTGTAGGAAGGTATGATTTGTAGTAAGTAAAATAAGGTAGAAAAGACGTGAAAGCCATTCAACAGCACTGCTAATATGCCTTTATTAAACATTAGTGCTGTTCTGAAAGTACTTTGATACTAAGAACACGTCCTGCAATCTGGCTGTGAATAAACTGAAGCTGGAAAAACTTGTGATTTCCCCAAGCAGTGGGGATTTTTGCTTAAGTGCAACTTGATAAGCATCTAAGCCATTAATGACAGTGGCTTGCAATAACAGGAAATTGGGCTGTGGACCCGCGGATTCCTTCTGCTGCATTCCTAAATCTTAGCAACTGCATGTGTCTTGCATCTTTTCCTTTTTTAATCTGTCTCTGCTGTTTACGTATCTAAGATGATATTTGCCCAGTTACTTAGTTACCTAAGGCTTTCTGAATAAATGCCCTGTTGAGACTAGACTGTATCTGGAATTCTTATTCATCCAGTATCCATCCAGCATTGCACAAGAATTCTAGTTTCCTAAACAGGGCTTATTTCTCCTCCTCCCACCCCAAAATAGCCAGTATGCTAGGTGTCCTCTGCCCCCTCAGCAGCTTTCTATTTATTTAAAGCAAGCAACTTTTAGTAATGACTTTTTTTTTTCCCCTTAACTAGATTGGATGTAACGCAGTTAGCTGGGCTCCTGCTGTTGTACCAGGCAGCCTTATAGAACAACCATCTGGTCAAAAACCAAACTACATCAAAAGGTTTGCATCTGGTGGCTGTGACAACCTTGTGAAGATCTGGAAGTAAGTGCTCAGTTGCCAGTTCTCAGAACCTTTAAAATGTGTTCTTCTTTATAGTCTCTGAACATCCCTGTTGGCATCTCTATGCTTTCATTTTAAATTATTATTCTTTCTAGAGAAATACTTCAAAACTAGAAACAACTTGGTGACTTCCAAATAGTTAGAGCAATTCATGTCAGACCTGCTTAATCTTGTCTTGAAAAGTGGCTTTTTAATCATTGTTGATTACATTTGTTATTTGGACAATAGCAGATCTTTGCACAGCAACTGAAGACCAGTTACTCTTGTCCTGTGCTGCATTCTGTCCTCTTGACTGGATTCTGTGTAAGCCATAGAGTCTTTTTTGGAGAAGAGTAGGAAACGGTTGTGCTTTGTATTGGTTGGATGAACCAGGAGTCTGAAAGCTACGAAAACCATCTTCCAGAACAGGAGCTGGAAAGTATGACTGTCTGCTGCTGCCGCCACCCTTCTAACTGTATAAATGTGTTTTCAGAGAAGAAGACGGTCAGTGGAAAGAAGAGCAGAAGCTGGAGGCTCACAGTGACTGGGTTCGAGACGTAGCCTGGGCTCCATCCATAGGTTTGCCAACAAGCACCATTGCTAGCTGCTCACAGGTGAGGCTTCCTTTGGAGTGGCAGGGGCAGGCTCTCGTTGCCTCCATTGCCATTTACAAGAGAAAAGGGGAAGGAAGTAAAGGAATAGTAAAGGTAGAACTGTTGTAACAGGTCCTCTTGGTAATCCTCTTCTGTATCTGGGCCTGTGCTTGAAGGCCTTTGAGTCCTGTTCCCAGCAAACTCAGAGGCCCAAGGGAAGTATTTCTGGACAAAGGTTTGTGTGGGTGTGGCTCTGTGCCAAGTACTACCTTTGGGTTTGAGAAGTGTGAGCAGAAGGGGCTCACTGTAAGGAAGGGCTTCACACTGAAGTTTGTATTTTAATGTCTCTAGACCAAACTCACTGCGCTTCTAGCAAAAACTACTGTTTTCTAGTAACTTGCATTCTTAATCATTGTCAGCTCTGATGTCCTCATGCTTCATATTGACTCTAGTGTTTCTGCTGCTTATAGGAATTCTGGAACTGCTTGATTTTATAGCAAGAGGGCGACTCAGTAAGCTGCTAACTTGCTGTCATGAGATTAGAAAAGAAAATACCAGCAGATACATATGTATTTTGAGAGTATTCCCCTGGTCTTTGCAAGTTGTCTCTTGTGTGCAGTTTTCCTCATCAGAGCTGTGCTTACACCTTGCCTTTGCCTGTAGTAAGAACAAAGCCCCTTTGCTTTTGTGTTGAGCAAAAATCGATGTAAACACATCTAGAGCTCCTAGCAGAGCTGGGACGTGCAAGTACGGTCATAACTGGAAATGCAAGCAAGCTTGGTTTTTCTGTTAAAACTAGTGGTCCAACCAACTCAGCGTTCTTGCTTTTACAGGATGGCAGAGTGTTTATCTGGACGTGTGATGATGCCTCTGGAAATTCGTGGTCCCCAAAACTGCTGCACAAGTTCAATGATGTTGTCTGGCATGTGAGTTGGTCCATTACTGCAAATATTCTTGCAGTGTCCGGAGGAGACAATAAAGTGAGTACTGCTGCCTCAGCTTTTACTCTTGCATGTGCTATTTTCAGAACAGCTGGGATGAGACAGGGTATTCTCGCTTCTGTTGTTTGAATCAAGACTGTTAAAGATACTGCTTTGCTGCAAGTGTTGTTTTTGTTTTTTTTTTTTCTTTTGGATTACCAAAAGGGGAGGAAAGACCCTAACCTCTGGCAAACTGCTCTCACTGCATTCTTACTCCTTAATGGAGACTGGAAATGCAGGCTTAATTTCATTTTGTAGGATACTACCACCAGATTTCACTCTCCCCCTCTATCAGTGGATAATTTAGTACACAGTGATAACTAGTTGATAACTTAGACATCCCTGCAGTGCCTGACTTCTGTAGTTTGGTGATGGGCTACAACTACAGGTGTGATCATTACAAGGAAACGAGAAACTGAGAATATGTTACAGCTGAAACTTCTTTCTGCTCTGTTTTCAAGGTCACGCTATGGAAAGAATCAGTAGATGGACTGTGGGCATGCATCAGTGATGTCAACAAGGGCCAAGGAGGAGTGTCTGCCGTTACAGAGGGGCAGCAGAATGAGCAGTGATGCAGGAGTGAGCAGTCCAGCAGCAGGAAGTGATCATTAATACCTGATTTGCAATGTTTCTTGACTCAGATGAGAACTGGTTTTATCTAAACTGGATGTGAACTTGGGAAATAATTATCCAATTTTATGAGCACTCTATAACCAATGCTGGGAGGCTACAATGTGTTGATAATCAGCCTTAATTGACATTCCCTTAAATTAAAGGTGAATATCAGAGCAAAGTACTGTGCCTTGTGCTACTCCTTGGTGCTGTAAAAGTTGTACCCTGCCTTCTGGTTTAGGGATCAGATTTAATTGGATATGCTGGGGTCAGACTTCCTGCACTTGAGTAGGAGCAGGAGGAGGCAGGCTGTCACGGTGCCGATGCCTGAACCCTTCTGTGCGCGGGGACAAGTGTTCTGGCCATTCAAGTGGGGGGGAGGGCTGGTGGAGTTACCAACAGGAGGTGACGTCCTGGCAGTAGTGAAGTGGTGCTTAGATCCTCCCCCAAAAAACATGCTTTATGTGGGTACATGAAAGTCTCCATGTTTTCCTGAAGATTAAAGGAGTAGTGGAATGCATATGTATTTTGCTTTACAGTAATCTCAAACCTGGTTATTTAACCAACATCAACAAATCAAAATACAATTTGGAGGTTGTTGTTTTTTTTTTTTTTTTTAGCCATACATACCACACTTCTGTACTGTACCTCAGGTTTTTGTTTAGATACCAACGGAATAAAATCTTATTGCTTAAAGCCTGGTTTGCTGCATTTGGTAATCTTTCACGGGGGCCTTATCAGGTTTGTCTACAGCCTACCTTCAAACACGCAGCAGTGTGGTGGTCTCTCATCTATGGTACTAGCTTTGTAGCAGATGGGAAGTTAGTAGTCCACTGGAGTCTAACGGTACACACTGTAAGAAGGAAGAAAATGAAAACATGTTTGAATACAGCTGTGAAGGCAAGTGATACCCCCTCCTGGAATAGGTCTTACTGAGGGCAGAAGTTTATTCTCTTGCCTGAATTGCAGTGGCATGTAACAGGTGTGTAAGGCTCAAACAAACCAGTTTTCAGCATGTTATCAGCTAAAAGCTGAAGCACTCTTCACACCCCACAAAAGGGGAAGCACTTAACTAAAAGGTCCCATTTTTCCTTGATGCTTCGTATCTGTTCTCTAAAGTAATAGTTCCAATGCATGCTCTTCATTTTCACTTAGTTGAGGATGATGTTCTCCTCTAGAAGAACCTAATTTCTGAAGCTATCTATAATAGCTAAAGAACATCCTAGTTTCTCCAACAAAACCACAAATCAATTACCTCCCTATATACCAAAGCAGCACGCAATGTTCCTGTTCTTGCTTAAACGCATGGTAGCCTTCACACACACACACACAGTTGTCTAAAAGTTTAACATTGCATTCAGACTTGCTTTGAAATCACGCAGCAAAGTAGTGTGTTCTTTCATTTTCCATTTCTATTAAGATCTTAACTGCTAAACTGAAAAGGCTGCCTTACGTTCCCAGGATCTTACCCCTTCTCCATTTTTCAGCATGCAATATCTGATCAATGTAACATTTTGTTTTTAAAGTAATGGAAGCAATGTTTCCTAGGTATCATCTTCAGTTCCAGTCTTTCAGCAAAAGACAACAAAATTTGATAAAACAGAACCCAGTTACACCATTTCAGATAACAATAAAAATGCTTTGAGGCATTTCCTTTTTGAAAAATACACATTACAGCCATTAATTTTTAAAAAGAACAATGTTAATGCCATGGGAAGAAAAACAAAAACAAAACCTCTCACTCCAGTCCCTACACCATTTCATTATAAATAAAAACAAACGCAGCAACGGATGTATGCAGTTTGCACCTTTCTGTTGATTTTGTTATCTTACAAGCTGACTGAGTTTCCAAGGAATGTGAGTACATATCAGGCTGCATTTCCAGAAATGTCATGGCACAGAACAAATATTCCTCTCTCTATAAAACGCTTCGGAAAGCAGCAGCTTGGTGTAGCTACAAAACTACCCAAGTGACGTGTTGGAGGATCTCTGGCTTCTGCTGGTTTTCCCGTGTAATTCCTCTCTGCTAACCCATCGGCTCCATCAGTTGCAGTTATTACAATTTAGTTACAGAAGAAATCACTGTAAGTAGTAATCTCTTTTTGTCCTTTTGCATGGAACAAATGTGTTTTCACATTCATTTTTAGAAATGACTTGAAGTCAGGAGAAAAATTTTCATTGGATCGGGAATCAATTAAATACAGAGATTATAGAATGAGTTTAATTTTTCATTCTGTTTTTAGGTTTGACACACCACCTAATGAAGAAAATCATGTTTCTCAGAGGTACTCTGCTGGGAATTCTCCTTTTCAGCATCCTCCAGACAGAAACTGCTTTGGCTGGCTCTAGTTTTTTAAGCCCTGAATTTAAAAAAATACAGGTAAAATTTGTGAATAATACTTTTTCAAAATTGTCCTCCTCCATAATTCCTTAAAGCCCAGATTCTTTACAACATTCAGTGTAGGTTTTAGAAGATAGTTTCTGGAGGAGGAAGGAGTTATTCCAGAGAACTACCGTAACAAACCATTAGTGTAGAATCCATGCTCTGAGAATACACTAATCTCACTCACTAAGAATGAATCAATTAAAAAAAAAGAACAACTGAAGACAGAGCAGCCATTTAAATAATTTGTTAAACCACATAATTTTGTTAAACCCAATCCCCGTTAAAGTGAACGCAGCGATAGCAGTGCTGTTGTTCTATACCTACACAGCCACCTAACTTTAAAAGAAGCCTCTGATGCCCTTACCCAATTGGCAGTATCTGTGTTAATTACAGGTTCTGATTCCCCACGACAGAGTAGTTTGAGCATGGAAAGACTACATGGATGTTATTTTGCTTGCTTTCTAGCAACAAAATGATCCAACAAAAACAACAGCAAAAATACATCGCCGAGGCGCAGAAGGCTTCTGGGATGCAGATAAAGCAGGGGCAGAAGATGGCAATGACAGTATTGAACTCAAGGTTTGTATTTGTGCCCACATACAAGTTCAGGAGATGGGCTTGGGGTGGGAATACTCCTTCTCTCACAGGAGGTAGTACATCTGAAAGCCACTATCAGGTTTAATTTGAAAGTCAAGTAGAAGACACATGAAATCTGCTAGCACTGATGGTATGAAATAATTTAAAATTATCTGCACTAAGATCCCAATCTGCTGTTAAGGATTCACTTACATTTCAGAGCTAACATATAACAATACGAGTTCCTTGCCGTTTTCTCTCCTCCGGTTTGCTGTGCAGTTTGGCCTGCAGCAGCTAGATGCTGTGTTTGTCAGGTACTGATCACACGCCTCAGCACCATTAAAGGAACAGATAACATTCGTATACCTTTTGTGCATCATCACGCACATGCATGAAGTTAACCTGCAGGGTCCTGGTCCAAAAATTGTCCGTTAAACTCTGTCTTTTAATGTTTTTACAGTTTCATGTTCCCTTTGAAATTGGTGTCAAGATAACAGAAGAGGAGTATCAGGAGTATGGACAAACACTGGAGAAGATGCTACAGGACATTCTCAAAGACAATGCTAAAGGTACTTTCAACCAAATCATAGCAGCAGAGATTTATATATATACATACATGTATATGTGATATATTTATCATCTAAGTTGTTATGTAAAGCAATCATAGCAGCATTTTAGAAGTGATTGGGTAGAAGTTACCACTATGAGAACTGCTAAAATATCTGATGTTCAGAAAATGCAGAAAATGCTAATTGAACTTTGAACAACCACATCAGAGTACCTTAGGAAGCAGGGGAAGGCTTCCTTTCCTTACACTGCCCATCTTTTTTCTTTTTTTTTTTCTTTTTTTCTTTTTTTTTTTTTTTTTCCCAATGCCCTCAGTTCCCAGCATTTCCATATCTTCTCAGCTATGTCCTTCATATTTTTCATGCCAAAACGTGTCAAAATCAGTATCTTATTGTTAACTAGAATGGCTCTAGCTGTTTCACTGATAAAGTTCTAATGACTAACTCCTACCACAAACTGATTATTTATTTATTTATTTTTTACTTTTACAGCCTTTCTCTCTGTATTTGCATTCATCTCTATTAAGATCTCCTTTCCAAATCTTTTAACATGTATGTCAGTCTCCGTATCTGTATTACACATTCCAACTACAAATCACCTCAGGTTTCCTCTTTCACCTTGCTTTTCAGGATCCCAAGATTCTGCCCCAAGCTCTTCTCTGTTCTTCTCTAAAGTCCTTCTGAAAGGCTACTTCTATGGCCATTACACAGACAAGACAGCGTTATGCATTCCTGCCCATGTAGAATGTAACTATGTGAAAGGCTTCTGCCTTCTGTCTTCTTTTGAGTGCTTGTGGCACTTCTGGACAGATTATCAAAACAGGATTTTCAGAAGAATACTACAATTTTCAAAATAATCTCTCTTTTGCCTTTTTAGAAACTCCAGTGAAAAGCTGAGGCAAGCTGAAGGACAACCACAGCACTTGATGAGCTGATTTAAGTTCTACTTTAAAATGCAATTATTACTGATTTCACAGCTGTTAAGAAGAAGGAAGTACATGCACCTGTGTAGTTTGCCCTGACAAAAAGACATCATACAGATGTACTTTTAAGTAAAAATACAAGATCTACAACCAAAAATAGTACAGGGCAATGTTCATTGCAGGTGGATGTGTAGGCTTATTTCCTCTTTTCCTTAGTAACTACTGTGATTATTCTAAATGACATGCTTGAAATCTATATGAAACTCGTCTAGAACTGATGGAAACATCTTCTTACGCTTCTGTACACATCTATAATAGAAAATAAAGCTAATGCTGAAACTGCAATTACTTGTTATTTTTAAGAGTATCTCAAATTAGACAGTTCATGTAATAAACTGCAAACTAGATGCACATGGAATCAACTTTCAGTTGCCAAATTGTCAATGGAGGTGTTAACATGGATATTATCAGAGAAATTATCCAATATCTCTTCCAGTTTAAAAAAAATAATCCAGTTAACTTACTTGAATTCAGAACTATCTCCATACTAATGCTGAATATCAGAGGGAAACAAGGTAATTTTGGTGCTACACGCGCATACACCAGTATGCTCCACTGTAGCACGTATTCTCTTCTGTACCTAAGCATTTGCATGCTTCCAAAAAGGCTAAATGAATGCCCCTATGGAGATCGATGAATCCGTGAAGATTTTTTGGACTTCACTCCTCAAGACATTCTGTAAAGTACTCTTGAACAAGCTGATGTGATATGGGTAAACACAACTGCAACAGACAGTTCTTAGCTGTGTTTCGTTTTCCTGACACAGAATTAATTGCCCAGCTGAAGTGATCCCTCTGCACGGCACACAACAAGCACGGCTTGTGTTACATACTCCACCCGAAGGCAAACCAGAATTGGGCATCTTGTTGAGCAGAACATTCTAAGGTTGCCAAACAACAAAACAAACAAACAAAAAAAACCCTTTTTACCTAAATGTGTGCAGTATTTTCTATTTTGCAAATACAACATCAACCTCAAGAGGGTAGCATAGCCTAGTAACGCACTGCTTTCTTACGGACAAAATAGGTCCGATGTGCTTATCTGCCTAGAAGGCAGAGGAAGCATCAGATTCTACAAATAATCTGTTCAAACGAATTTTTCTTACAGTCTCTCTTCCTTTGTAGGCAGAAGAATAAGTAAGCAAAGCAGTGAATCCCGCAGAGAGGTCCTAGAAGTGCTCAGGAATGGTTCCACATCGCTGCAGATGGCAGTAAAGCGATGGCTAAAGATAAGAACGAAGCACTGGATGGGAATTGTTACTGCCTGATTTGGAGAATAGAGACTAAACTTAGTGAGAGGTCCAAGACAGTACCTCTCTCTTTTGAGTTAACTACTTTTGAGCTCTCTAGCTAACTGTGAAGAATAATGGAAATTCAACTAGCAGGTTAAAAGCTTAAAAGCTAAGGGAAATTCTCTTAAATAGCATCACCTGTGACCTGTTTCCACACGAAAAGGGGCTAATAATCACTGGAACCATTTTTTGGTTTGTTTTTAATGCAAGATGTTCACTTTGTATACTATCAGTTTCAAAACACTTTGTCACCGCCAGATTCCCTACAGTTTTGCTCTCACCACGCTTAACCTCAGAGTAAAACACATCAGAATTTGTCTATTTATATGGTAGCATTAGCTGATAGTTAGACATCACGGGATATTCAATGAGATTCAGACAACGTTACCGAGCTATACAAACAAAGCTAGGGTAAATAGTTAAAGAGCTTGCGACTGGTTTTGACAACAAAATACTTGATGTACATTATGGTTTCATGGCCTCACTTCAGATAAAAATTTGCCTTTTCATAAGCCTGATGGTCTACAGGAAGCAGCCAAATACAGTAAGCAAAGCAAAAAAGGAAAGTAATTCTGTTGCAACACAGGATTTTTACACCAGCTTCCTATGTAAAGAGAAGTCCTTTCACAATCCATTATGTTTTTCATTGCAGTTTGTTGCAAGAACAGTGAGTGAAGATTTGAAAGACTTCCAGTGAGAGGTATTACTTCGTGACTAGAGTCGGAGTGCTGGGAACAGCACCAGAAGTCACAGATGACGTTAGATTGCCCTCCCAAGAGTCATTAACAGCAGAAAAAGGAAATGATGAGTAAAACCTGAAGGATGAATTTACACTTGCATTTACCATAGCATCATAGAATCATTCAGGTTGGAAAAGCCCTGTAAGATCATCAGGTCCAACCTTTAACCTAGTTCTGAAGTCCGCCACTAAAGCACATCGCTAAGCTCAACATCTGCACATTTCTTGAAGACCTCCAGGGACAGTGCCTCAGCCACTTCCCTGGGCAGCCTGTCCCAACACCTCACAACCGTCTCAGTGAAGGAATTTCCCCTAATATCCAACCTAAACTTCCCCTGGTTCAACCTGAGGCCATTTCCCTTCATCTTACCGCTTGGTGCTCGGGAGAAGAGCCCAATCCCCACGTCGCCCCAACCTCCTTTAAGGCGAAGTACAGCAAGGGCTGCCCAGAGCCTCCTCTGCAGGCCGAACACCCCCAGCTCCCCCAGCCGCAGACCCACAGAGCCTTTCTGGGCTTGTTTTCGGTGACTGAACCAAATACTGGCTGGAAAATGCTGTTGGCATGAGCTTTGTGGGACTGACTGGTGATGAGCAGTGACACCACATCATTTTATTGTGTGTGTGTTTTTATGTGACTACGACTATGGCTTTGTGCTTTCAGACACAGGCAGCTCCCCTCAAGCGGCCCGGGGAGGCGCCCCCAGCCCCACTCCGCGCCCCGCCTCCACAGCGGCGCCTCAGGGGACGGCCCGGGGGCGGGACCTGCGGCCGGGCCCCGGCGCTGATTGGCTGTCCCGGGGCGGCTCCTGGCACCGATTGGCCGGGCCGGGCCGGGCGGGAAGCGCCGTGAGGAAGCAGGCGCCTGGTAATTAGCGCCAGGCACGTGACTCGTTAATGAAGCACGAGCTCATGATGAGGTGTGAACAAAGATGTTGAGGCGCTTCCCCGTGAACACACTTCAGGAGGCTGGACTACGGCAGTTGTCTGTGCTACAACTCACAAAAAAGCAGGATGCAGAGACAGGGCTTTTTTTTTTTTTTTTTTTTAATTTATTATTCTCCAAAATAGTATTGAGAGTACAAACTTGCCAAGTCAGGCTAAAACCTACATCGTTTTGAATAGCCAGCAGCTGTGTAACAGAGCATCATTACTGTAAGACTACACAGTACATTCCATATGTTACATTATGCTTATGTAACCCTACAAGATACATATTACCTCAGAGTATTTTAAAATTCACATAGAATAACAGCTGGATTCTGTCACTATTTTTACAGCTCCAGTATTTTTGCTCCGCAGTATAAGGGGAACAAAACCTTTAAAGTATTTTAGACATGCATGTCAAAATTCACTGTCTGTTCAGAGGAGTCAGGTCTCCCGTCCAGCTCTGGTGCTCTCCTCCCTGCAGAGACCCAAGGTGCTACCTCCAGAGCTCCCAAAACGTATCCACAAAAAAACAATATTAAATGTTCATCCTTGTGCAGAATCTCTCTTATACCTCACACAGAATTAAGCAGTTACCGACCAATCCAAATCTATTCATTGTTTCTTGTCAGTACCAGCCTTATCTTCTCTTTTATATGGCAAAATAAATAAAAGCCAACAACTGGCACTGGAAAATATACAGACAGCATCAGTGAAACTTAAATATAAAGATTGTAGTAGTTTTTAGTGTAGAAATCCATTTGATAAACGTGTAGACAATTCTAATACTCATTGTTAGTTAAAACACTCTTATCATAGTAGTACCTCCAGCAAAGTAGGTACTGTACAAATACAGAAAGAATGAAGCCTTACTCAGAGACCTTCATGTAAAGATAAGAAAACACTTGTGTTTTTTTTTTTGTTTTGTTTTGTTTTTTTTTCTTTTTAAGAAAATATTCCATGAATTCTGATACAAGTTTTTAAGACATTTCTGTACCCCAGGCCTTATTGGCTGTGCTGAGGCAGCAGCAGCGATGTGTGTCAGTATGCTGAGCTATATGGTCTGATAGTTCTTTTTGCTAATCATAAACCTGTTATTTTCCTAGACTGCTAAAGAGTAAAAATGCAAGCAGTAATACAAATGAACAGTCATTAAAGTGACAGTCTCTTCAGTGCATTTTTACTTGATAGTAAGTATGACAGCAGACAAGACTGTTTTTTTGTTTTTCCTTCTCTTTTCAGAGTGATCGCTGAGCTTGACCTCAAGGCTGCAGTAGCTGGGTAAGCCAAGAGACACAAAATGATTCTTCTCTGAGAATACTTAGTGAGTATGGGTACATGAATAGGCCCCCTTACTAGCTCATCTTTCACTGGTTGTTTTACCCATTGCCAAAATAAATACATCAGACTTCAACTGACCTATGACAAAATAAAGATATTTTAAATTAAAATTTTGTTCCTTATCCAAAATACACAAGTCACCAATTCACAATTTCACAATTGTGAAACAATAAGAAACCTCAATAATGTTTTAAAGAATGCTTAGGTAACATAACTTTGAAAAATACCCTTATGAAGTACTAAGCACTGTCTTCTATCTCCTGACAGTGAAACTCAGACTTCCAATGGTGTCACATATATATATTAGAGCAGCCCATAGAGCAGACTAACACAACTTTAATTATTTACTTATAACTATTTCCAGTGCAATTCAAATTGAGATTGGGTCATACAGAATACATCTGAGAACTATTCCCTTCTCTGATAATGCAGTGTTTTTCAGTATGTGGAACTGTAATTATATGAAGTAGATCATTTGATAACTGAAAGCTTTTTCAATCTCTTCAAAGATTTCTGTAACCCTGTATAAATGGGATAACAATGAGTATTGTGAAATGATTGCTGATCAATACTTGCCCTGTCAATTTGAGGGCTCCAATTTTTTTAATAAGACATATGTGGATGCTTTCTGAAATACACTGCAAAAGGACCTTAAATTATGTTGGCAATTGTGTTTGCCGTATCTTTGTGTAATGCAAACAAGAAGAAAGAAGGCTTTTCTGTTTACAGAGTAGCTTTGTGCTTAGATCTGCTTTAGAAAACATGTTTTTGTATTCTTCTCGGTGGGTTCACTTTTGTTTCCTTTGGAGAGGACTAATGTTTCCGATCCAAACGTGCTACTTAATCTTACATGAAAGGTATACTTTTACCATCTTTGTAATGAAGAGGCAGTCCTTGTTTCTTCTTCAAAGTTGGTCACTGCTAATAAATCCATCCAGTTTAAGATTCGAAAAGTTCAGAACTGTTTAATTTGTCTTCTTCATACAGTAAGATATTTTCCATTAACTTCTTTTTTTGGTCATTTATCTTTATTTTCCACGATGTCTCTCTGGCTATTGCTGAAATACAAAACAGCCCAGATGTTGAGAAAATAATGCATCTAAGTCTAAGGAATAGACAGTAATTTTAAATAAAAAAAAATCTGGCTTAGAACAATGATAGAGAAACAGAGAACAGTTTGAAGATTTATGGGTAAAATCATAATCAAGTAGTTGGTTATAACAAAAGTAGTACTGAAAGGTTTTTATAAATGGGAAGAAAAGCAATTCTGGAGTAGAGAGAGTAAGTTGTTCCTGCTACTATATTACAGAGCACTTTTACAAAGACTTGGCTTATCACAACAGGAGCATGGTCAGTTTTGACAAAACAGCTTGAGGATCGTATGCTTGAATGTTCTGCACCCACCCTTCAGATTTAGCTAGATTTACCTTGTGAAGAACATGAAGGCTCAAGGTCTGCATTTTTTTGTTGAAAGGTGCTCTGTGCAGCAGAAGCTATTTCTAAGTTGTCATCACTTCTGATGCATGCCACGCTTCTTTCCCGGAGTCCATTTGCAGTTTTTTTCTCCTTTATCCTGGCATCAGAGGTTGCGATATTTTCTGAATTGTTACAGCTGTTGTTAGACAGCTCGTCTGTCGATTTGTCTTTAGGATTCCACATAAAATTCATTGATTCATCTGATTCACAAGGGATCCTTGACATTGGTCCGCAGTAAATGTCAAGTGACACAGCTCCTACTGAAGGCGTGCACTGGCTGGCACTTGTCAGGACTGTTGGCTGCACACTGTCCTCTTTATTCTGCCCCGCAGAAGGCACGTCCATGCTGAGATTAGTTGTCTCGTCATCAGTTTCTTCTGGAGTGTTCGTGGAAAATCCAGAAGTACTGCCTCCACAGATGTAATGCTCACTTAATTTATTTTCGGCCGTTTCCATAATTTCAAGCACCTGTTTTTAACAACAAAATCTATGAATGGAGAATAATCCCTGTACCCCTGCTTACACAGATTCTTATCTGAATAAGGATCTCAAAAATAGCTTGGGCATGAATGTTGTAGCTTTAGACCTTTCTGTCAAGAAGATTAATCTCTGTGTCATGTTTTAAACGTAATTACCTCTGCTATGTTGGAATTCTTCTTTCTCAGACAAAGGCAGATGGCTGAGGCAAAATCAATAGCAACCTCTTCCAGCAAGTCTCCTGCTTTCCTGTCTAGGTATTTACAGCATATTTCCTTGGCAGCTAGCTGTTCAAAATTCTTGACTTTTGGGTATGAGGCTTCTTTTGCTGTTTTAATTTCATCTGCAATCATATCTTTCTGTTCAAAGGAAAGAGACATGTTACTGACACATTACATATCCGCATCACGGGGAATATGAGTTGTCCCTTTTGTTTGTTATTATTGCTTCTTAATGGCTGGTTTACAGATCTAAAAGCTTTATTAGTCTTCATTTAAGCAAGTGACAGGAATATTTGTTTTCATGGGAGAGAAAAGGCCAATGGTTTTCTTTGCATGTGTCTGATGTCAAATTCACTAAAAGAGACCCAGCTACTCTATGCTTATGCCAATCTAGAAGAAGGAAAAATAATCAGCACTGTATATAGCAGCATTTTTGGACAACTTTTTCAAATATTTGTTAAAGAAATCAGAAACCTAAGATCCTTTGTTTTCTGAGATTGTTTGAACATTACTAAACTCTTTGGAAATTGTAAGAATACTACTGTTTTCCCCTCATGTAACAAGATGGTAAACCAGGAGTGTCTGCTTAGCCTTACCAGATAAATAGGATGTCTTCCTTCATCCAGTGCCTTAATCCCTGTCAGTATCTCTGCTAAGACCTAGAAAATATATTTGACAGGTAAAACAATTTGTTCAGAATAAATTCTGGAGTTCTGTAAGTACAGAAATATTGAACTGCCAGAGCACTTGGAAATTACTGGTTTCACTTCACATGGCTTAATAATGCCAGATTTGGGCAATATTTATGACAGTTTAGACCTACCTCTAAAGCCAACAGTTGGTAGTAGCTGATGTGGCAAATCTGTAAGACTTCTGAGAATTTAACTAAAATTTTTATTTTATTTTTTTAACTACCAGCTGTATTTTTTTTTTTCGCAACCTGTAACGATTTTCTTGTTCAAAAGATTCACCTCACTTTGCCACATACTCAAGTACATTTGGAATGTGAACAGAATTAAAAACATAATTTCAACGCATTATATAGTTAGCAACGATGATAAAAATTGCAGGAAAAAAACAACTATATGGGGAGCATGCTCACACATCTGTTTTCCTGTCTATAAACATCAAAAAAACACAACAGAACATGATGAAAGGCAACATACCACACCACAGGCAAATATGTCAACTTTTTCTGTTAACTGCCCGTGCCTGATAAAATCTTCTGGCAGATAAGTAAGAGAAGCTTGTAGGACTTTGGTTTTCATCATAGTACACTCTGATTTTTTATCAGCAGAATACAATCGCAGACCTGAATGTCCAAGCTTTGGTGTATAGTTTTCATCCAACAAGACATTTGAGCTGTGATTAAGACAGACAAATAACAATACTGGTCAAGTAATTGCTTTAACTTCATGTCAGAAATTACAATTTTACACTTTTAAATTTAAGGCAAGCCCTGAGGGGGAAAATTCCCAGCATTTGGCCTGCTGTGTAATAATGAAAGGATAAAGGCTGCAGAAAGGGAGAAGAGAAGAAAAAACACTCAGAAAATTATTTCAAAAGAATAGACTTCCATCATTTAGATTAGACAAATAAAACACCCTGCAGAACAAGAGGGAGCATTGCAAACGGATTGCAAAATTACTTAAGCTTTCAGCCACTATTGTCAAAGAAATCCTGGTGAACAAGGATGTGCTGGTATGTCAACCCCCACCTCTTGATATTGCCATGCAGAATTCCAAAATTGTGTAAATACTCTACGGCTCGGATGAGTCCTCTGGAAATACGAATTCGCATCTCCCAGGTCAGGGGAGAAGAATCATCCTGCAAAGAGAGGAAAAAAAAAAAGTATTTTTATTTTGTTTAGAATGACAACCTACAAAGCAGTAGTAGCTTTGCAAGCCAAAGACTGTTTTAGTCCCACTGCAATCATAAGCAGATCTGCTGCTGACCTACATTAGAAGTTTCATCCAATGCAGAAACTGGTGATTCTAGGCCCAGGAAGGAACCTACTCTTTCACATTGTGCTGCACATTTTGTCTGCCATGTGACATGATGAGACAGAGATACAGCAACAATCATGCTTCTGCAAAATGCATCCAGTACTGCCCGCTATGGAGGCACAGTACTGGTTTTGGTGGATTGTTTTCCTGATGTTTCTGTGTCTTATGATCTCTGCAAATGCTCTTTCAATATGTATGAACATCTCAAACTTAAGGCCTTGTAAAACATTGTAGAACGTTATGTCAGTGAAAATGAGAGTGGAATCTACAGGACGATACTGATATTACAATGTAGATAGGCACACTTGGCAGATTAGGTATTAGTTCAAAAATCTGAAGGCTGCAAAGCAGAAGCTTTCCATTGACCTGATCTACTATGCTGTAGAAAAACTAAAAAAGAGCCTTTTCATACTCACAGGCAACTTCTCTGGGTACGTTTTGGCTGGTTCTTAGAAGTGAAAGAGATTTAATTGTTTTTCATACAGTAACAGGACAGGACTTGTAACAACAGACAGATAACAGACCCATGTTATTGCTTACTTGGCACTGAAGCTGGTTTTGTAGTGATCCATTAGGCAGGTATGGATATATCAGACAGTGCAAATCAGATTCTACTGAGAAACCCAGCAGCTGCAAAATGTTGACGTGACAGCACCTGCAGGCACAGACCAACAACGATTTGCAAACAACAACAAAAAATACATTCATGAGCTGCAATAAATTCCTGAATTCAAGGCCATTGTAAATTACATTTTGTCTTGCTGCTGGAAGCACAGAATGGCTGTGAGTGGGCCTGCAGAAGGCTAACCCAGCAGCAGAGGAGAGGATGATAGCACAGCTCTGTTCTGAGCAACCAGAGGGCACCAGGAGGCACCATCCCTCACAGTCTAAAGGACTGGCAAGGGACTGGTTACTCAGCAGGGAACTGCAGCATCACTGGCAGGCGTGCCGTTTCCCCAGGGCTCCCACAAAGGCAGTGCAGAACTCCGCTGTCCCCAGCAGAGGCCAGCAGTGCCTGGGAGATACACGCATGAAGTCAGGCCAAACATCCCAGCAACACACCACATGCAGACTGCCTTTGAAAGTCAACCACTCACCGAAAGCAAATCTGTACTTCTGTATGAAAGAACCTTTGGGTGGAATTTGGGCTTGTGCATTCCATCTGAAAAATGGAAACATGCAATAGAATCTTGATGGTAATTATTAAGGTGCTGCATTTATACAGGTCTTTTAATCTCTACATGACAAACAGGCAGAACACTGATGACAATTTTGTGTCACAGTCAATAATAGAAAATTAGCACAAAAACTGATGTAAAGACACCTTTAATCTAAATAATGATGAAGGTAGCTACAGCAGATGAAGTGAAGAGATCTACCCACGTGAGTAGAATCTCTCTTGCACGTGCTTGCTGCATCTAGGTTTACTCCTTTACTTCTCTTGCATAGCAGTTCTTGTTCCCTGCCCATACGATGTTAAGACAACTGCTAATATTCAAGAACTTCTCATAAGATATCTCCTTCAAAGGGAGAAAATAAAAAGTGAAGTACTTGCCTCTTTCAATCTTTTGATGACATATACCATGTTGTGCCTCTGACCTTTGTAGACATCTGCAAAAGTACCTTCACAAATTCTACTCTTGTCACTGAAACCGTTTGTGGCATTAGTAACTTCCCTCTGGGTCCACAGCAGACTCCCGCTGGGGAGATCAGTCATCGTCTCCTGCTGAGGACTTGAAGAGCTGCAGGGCTACAGATTTGAAGAAGAAACAAGTTCATATTATGAAAATTTGTATGCTTTTTCCTTCTTGTTCACACATCATATTTTCTTTTCCATGGTCTAAGTGAGCATTGTGATTGTTGAAAGAAATCGTGAAAGGCACTGTGCAACCCCTCAATAGTTTCCCTTCGTAGTATCTGTGTTGATTTGTTTTGCTGATGGAAATATTTTGCACAGTAGAAGAGACTTGAGAACAGTTACCAGTTTGCATTTCCACCTTTCCAAAAAAAAACAACACATATTTAGCTTTGTTTAAAAGTCCACGTGTTTATCTGAAATGACATCAGTTTAAGCTGCAGAAAACATTAATCTTTCTGGCTGCGCATATATAAAGAAATGACTGGATCAGGAAGGAGGGTCCCTCACGCTGTAATGCATTTTGTTCTGGTAGGAAGTTCACAACTATACCTGAAGCATCTGGCATCAGCTGCAAAATGCTCAGTTGCTTCCAGTACGATCAGTCCTAACGCCATTTATTACTAGAACTCCACTATAGCCTACATATAACCATACAGCTTTCACAGACTTCATGTCTTGTTTTCTAAAGTCTGGAGACCTGAATTCCCTTCTCAAGGAACTGAAACTACTGCGTTCTTTGTAGCAGTTTTCTCCTCTGTCTGGCACTCACTCTTAAACCATGTTATTTTGGAAGAGTTAGAAGTCTTAAAGCAGAATCTTTTTTTTTTTTGTTGTTTGTTTCTTATATTTTTTAAAAAAGTCAAACAAAATGACACAAAAAAGAAGCCAACACAGAGCCAGGATGGGGCCAAAGTGTGCACATGGATCTGGGAAACACTCTGAGAGCTCACGGGACAGATCTAGCTAGACTGCCTTAAAGATGAGAGCTGCAGGGAGAAAGAACAGGAGGCTGTATGCTGAAATCTGGAACAGGACCTCAGAGAAACAGTAGAATCCTTCTTTCATTTTTCAGCTGGACAAGGCTCTGGACAACCCGACCTAAATTTGACGCTAGCCCAGTTTTGAGCAGAAACCGCATTTTAAGCATAAACTTAAACTAAAAGTATGGCATTCTGACTAGTCAGTTGCTTATACTGCACTGTCCTATGATCACACCAGAAATGTTATGTCTGCCACAAAATCTATATGGGAAATTCCTTCAGAATTGCTATTTGTGGGCACGTTATCCACGCTCAGCTATGCAGTACTCTTAATTTTAATCCCTCACTGGCAAAAAATAAAAATATAAAGTGAGGTAAACAGTAAGTAATCCAACTGAAGCATTAGTATTATATTCAGTCTAAACATACTGTAATAAGGACCCACTTTTTCAGTAGATCTGTATTTTATACAAGTTGAGGAATAAACTTTGACTTGAAAAAAACAACGTCATAAAGGGAATTGGCATAATTGTAAGCAACGTGTACTGAAGGGATTTACCTTCACGCTTGATGAGACGGGAGGATTTGACTGTAAGGATCTCAAAAGATCTCTTGGGGGAGGTGGTGGAGAAGGAAGTGAATACAAGGCTCCTTCAGAAACAGCATCTGAAATTGAATCACCAGCATTGAAAATACACATTTGGGTAATACCGCAGCCTGTGACTAATTATGAGGGTGTGGGATATTTTGTTGAATTTCATAACCAGGTATAATCTGTGACAAGCTGTTGAAACTTGAAATCTTGTGTGAATATACGGAACTATTTTCCTGGTTCCTCTTTGTGAGATGACCACGAAGCTCTCTCCAGTCCTGGCTCAGGGACGTGGAGCTTCCAGAGCCGTTGTCTATACTGCCAGGTAGATGCTCTTGTCAGCATATCGTGTGGTTCTGCTCCCTCTCCCAGGCAGGGCGGCCTGTTGACACGTGCAGGGCTCTCTTCTGGCCCAGATTTGTTTTGCATCAAGAGGGGCACAGGGCACGAAGCGTATGCAAAGATCTAGTCTGAGCATGGAGTCAGGATGGGACGAGACACGCGCCTGGGAAATGCACTCTTGAGATCCCACAGAATAGATATAGCCAGCATCTCTCAAAGCCAGGAGAGCTAAAGGAAGGAAGAACAGGAGGCCATGTGCTAAAGTTAGGAATAGACAGCTCAGCAGCAGTAGGCAAAAGGCAAATATTCAAAAGCATGACCACTTTGATCAGCAATATATTCGTCTGGACTATACTGAAAGCGAAAGGAAAGCAGTCTTGTGTGTATGGTCATTCCAGTGTCAAAGCAAATCAGTCTATTACTTCACTTACCACGTGCTGGAGATATTCCCAGCTGTGAAGAGTCTGGTGATGGCAACAAGCTTATCTCATTTTCTCTCTCTTTATTTTTGCTTTCTGTAGGAGTTAAAGATATGTTCTCCTGCTTAGGTGGCTCTATCAGCTCTTCTTTCTCGGAGTTGGTAGTACCGGAGGGTGATATCCCTGCAAAGGAGAACAGACAGGTGAAGAGTAGCAGGGAGAATAAAGTCTGTCTCTACTCAGTTACCGGAAAATAATCCTCATTAGGAGAATGGTTTATAAATTCCAATTAACATTATAAACCTTGCATTTATTGTTAAATTGCTTCAATAGTATTGGCATTTCAATTCAGACCATATTCGTGACATTAACTACTCCTACTAAAAATTAACCAGTGATAACTTGAAATATACATCAGTGATGAATATGCAAAATAGCTCTTAGAATAAGGAATTACCAAGAGCATATTTATTCTGTCATTTTCCACGTAACACCTTTCAGCCAGTGATCTCAGACCACAGCTATCCCACAGCCTAAAGAAGACATCTGGGTCTTTGCTAATTGTCACGGTACTGAGACTTTGACAAATTGCATCGGTTTTAGTCAGTTAAACATTTTGGGACTATTTTCAGTTGTGTGGTTTTAATGTCATGAACAAGCTCATTCTTAGAAAACACCTATACAGAATTTATTTCAGGAAAGAAATAAATCGGTTTTTCACTTATGAACAGAAAGAAACAAACTGTATACAACTGAGGGAAAACAAAAACAGTCAAAGGTCAAAACTAGTTGATACATAAGGAAAAATTAACGATGAAATTATTGACTCACTACAGCTCTAGAAGATTCTACGCTGTATACAGGTTGGCCAAATCTCAGAATCAGGCCTAAAAAGGCAACCTTGAAATCTCATTAAGAGAAATACAAGGATGCTTTCATCTCACACGTAATTGAAGAGCATACACATCTAAGAGAAATTATTAAAATTAAATTAGGCTACAGTTAGAACAAGAGCAAAATAAAAGTAAAAAAATTGCAAGATGCTCTGATATACAAAGCTGTCAAAATCTCCTGAAGAAGGATCTGAATTCCTACCCAGGAAGACATTTAAAACTAAAGTGGAAAAGGAGTTTGGGAATGCTGAGTGCGCACTAGAGGTGATACAAGAACTTTCTACTGCCTAATGACCACATTTTCCTGGTTATAATTCTAAACTCATTTCTACCTGGATTTTTTTTTTTTATCAGCAATATATTTATCTTTTACTTGAAAAGTTAATGTTTTCTCTTGATAAGAGAGAGAATAAGCACAAGTATTAATACAAGTTTTGTTGTTTTTTTTTTTTGTCATGCTGTTCTATCAGCATTTTATCTTGAGCATAGTATATATGGGAAGCAAAAACCGCAGGCTTTGTTTGCATTTGAAATCAAGCAATAACTTTTTGTTCTTTTTTTAAATGTCCAAACAAAGCATTAGGAATATCTGAAACAAGAAGGAAGGAAGCAGTGTTTCATTCACTATTTGTGCTTCTCATACACGAGTTTCAGTAGAAGCGAAGTTTAGGAAAAGGCGAGGCGTGACAGCTGCAGTGTGCTGAAGTTTGAGCAGTCGTGGAGTATGAAGAGCAACTACGGGAGAAGTGGGCATGTTTTTGTCAGGCAAGCATTTTTCTTTGACTTCTGTCTGGAGTTTGCATCATTGTTCTTCGATATCACCTATGAACAGAGGTTTGAATGAAAGGAGGTAGCCAAACTGACGCTCGAGAAAAGTCAGTGATGGGTCTCTGCTCCTGTGCCAGAAAGCTATGAGATCACAGACTCTGGGGGCTTTTGAAATTATTAATATCAACCAGTCCACGGGCCTTTAGTTCAAACTGGCAGTCCCTGTATTCTGAAATTGCTTTTTTCCCCCAGTATTTTCACCTAGAAGTCTCTACAATTAAAAATCACTTCCCTCTTTGAACCTATTTTTCAGGGTTTTTCATGAATTTTGCAACTTCCTTTACATCAAACAGGTTGCCACTGAAACTAAAGAACTAAGATAGGAAAAAATTATTATGGACATCCAGAAGTGGGACATCCAGAAGCGGTGCAAGAAATTGTCGAAGGGAGGGAGAACTCTTCTGCTAATAATCTGCCAGCAAAACTTCTACCTGGGTGGCGTGTCTGAATCTTGCAAGTCAGACTGAACAGTTACGGTGACATAAGAACTGCTGGAGTTGGGACCAATTTGTTTTCTGAAGTGCCCAAAAGAACAAGCAGTGAGTACTGCATCACCACTGCTTGAGAGGCACTGCCTGAGCAAGAATATTCAGATACAGACATAAAAGCAGAAGTCAAGGGTAAAGACAAAAGATTTGGCTGAACCTGAGAAGATGCTGGTACCGAGAGCTTCTGTATGACTCAGTGCAGGAGAATGTCAATATCAGGTTAAAACCAGGAAACACTAGCTACTTCCACACGGTAGAACAACCAAGTTAATTTAAGTGGCAGAAAGCCTGGGTAATATGAAGTTTTGCGATGGACATCAACGTAAGAGAACACTGAATTGTTAAAAAAACAAAACAAAAAAAGTTAATTTCATTGTAGTTTTGTAATGCATTGCAGTTGAACTGATTTTGGGCAAAAGCAAATCTTGATCATCCAGAAACATAACTAAAAATGGATCAGTCCAGAAGATTCATCTCCTCCACTTTCCTAACCCTCTTTATGTAACCTTCATATTGCCCTACGGAATTCAGGAGCAAACCAAAGCCCTTTCTAGCTCCTTGCAGTGTCCTGGCTGGAACAGTCCAATTTTGTAGTTCATCCATTGTCACAGAAGGAATCAGAAAAGCGAAGGGATGTCAGATGCCTGTTTTATCAGCTCAGTGTCTTAATGAGTGAGATTGGATACGTCCATTTCTTACCATAACTTCGTAATACTTGCTTTCCTGCAGTCCTAGCTAGCCCGCAGAGATAATGATAAAGACCCCTGATTATTTCCATCAGACAACTACAGTCTTTAGAAAGCAAGCTTTCCTGGAGAAGTCACAACGTGTACTCCTCCAGCCTGGAGGAAGTTGATCGGGTTTTACTTTTAACAGGGAGAAACCCCTCCGTTTTTGCTGCCTGTGTAAAGTGAAGTCCAAAAAGTCTCAGAAATATTTTTAAGAAAGCTTAAAAGTGGGGGGAGAGGGATAGGGTGGGAGATGGATGGACAGACAAATTAGAAGTAAATCACAGCAGCACAGGAGAAAGCAGATAAACCCTTCCTCTACCAGGTGCTGAAGTCAGGTGCATATTGTGCAAGCCACTGTGGTATTTACATAGCACTTAAAAGAAAAGCCAGTCAGACAAACAGAAGGATGATGAATGTTTCTCTGCAGTTACAACGATTACTTCTGTTTGCACTGTATCCGTATCTTTAAAGGTGGTGTTACTGGAAGCTGCTCCTGGCTTGGGAGCCTGATTCTTTGCACTTTACATAACTACAGAGAAAATCTTACTTGGTTCTTGTGTAAGCAGTGGGCAATGTGCTGAACTAATCTCAGTCTGAAACCTGCTCATGGGGTCTTACTTTAAAGGCCTGTAAAAGAAGAGAAAACCCACTGCACCTTGGGTAAAAACAGCATCTTGTTCTTTGTTTTTCCCCCAATGGGCAAAATTAACCCACGTGGGAAAGTGTAGCATCATACCTAACTGAGCAAAAGCAGACTTCCCATGACATAATTTCTATCGTGAGAGTTGTTACTGCTATAATCTAGTGATAAAAACTGAAACTTAAAAACTGCTGACTGTTTTATGTTTCTCAGGAGGTGAATGCACACTTCTTTTTTTTTTTTAATTTAGCCACGACACACAAAGTGGGATTACAGAAGTATCAACGGACTCTGCTGAGGAATACACTGAAATAAGCCAGCTGTAAACACAGGTGAGCCCCAGAACGCGCTCTGCAGGGCAGGAGGCTGAGGGCTGTAACTGATGAGCATCTGAAGTGTGGTTGGTTACGCCGCATTATGTAAGGGCCCCCGGAAACTCTCTTTCTAGACTAGGAACTGACTGCATGAAACACTCGACAGGCACAGAACAAAAGAAGTTACCACATCACAGAGGACACTGGCTACTCCAGAGCACCCACAGAAATGGTGGGAGCCAGGCTTACTGCTTTGGTGATATCTAGATCAAATTTATTCGGTGTAAATAGATAAAAATAAAAAACAGATGAAAAATATGTTTCCAGTCCTGTCCATTCAGACTGGACCCTCAAAGTCACAGTCACTGTGACTAAATTAACAGTTGGATTACTGACATACTAATTAAAGCAGATGAAAATTCATTTTCCTGTAGCTCTGGGTTGCTCTGCAGAAGAGCAAGGAGGAACTGTTCCCATCTCCTGAGCTGAATGATGTGACTGAATTCAGTCAGAGGTGGGTCTGCTGAATCAAAAGGCTGACAGGTGTGACACCAGACTCAGCTCTAATAACCGAGCATCACCGTGGTAGCTCTTTGATTTATACAGAGAATTTACTTGAAGCACATTTGTGCTGTAGTATTTAACACTCCTCTTCAAGAAACAGAAATTTAGAATACCCTTGTTAAAGTTAATTCTTGCTGTCCCAAACTGAAGGTTAGAAGTCACGCTAATGCCAGAAGCCTACAGAAAACCAGCAATGATATATAAAGAAATGCTGAGGCAAGAAAACCACAACACATTACCGGAATTTCCATGAGAAATGCCTCTAGCTGCTGTGCAGCCAGTGCCAGCTGTGGCGCTGACTGTTGGTGGCCCTGCCCTGGGGAGCAGGCTGCTATTGCGAAACAGCTGCCGGTGATGCAACCCCTGCAGCCAGGAGCTGGCAGCCTCCCTGTCACACAAGGCCAGAAGCAGGCAGTGCTCCGCACGTCTTCTGTCTTGTTCAGGTGAAGTGCCCGCACTCACAAGCTTTGTCCTTTTCCCACAGCATCTCTCTAAGCATTTTTGGCCACCTAACAAAAAATCTTATTTTTCTTCCTAATAATTCTCTCTGGAGCACAGGCAAAACCCACACAAACATCTGATTCCCAAGAAGGTGGATCTGGAGTAGGAATGTGTATGAAGTGGGGAGCACGGTCTGCTCAGGACAGGAAGGCTGAGTGTGTCACCCAGGGTCTAACAGACTTTGTGGCAGAACTGAATTACGGTACAATTTGGTTTATGCACAAGGATAGCTGCAATTTAAACATAACTCTCAATGGAGAAAAATGGAAAGGGAGAATATATTTAAAAGCGCCTTGATTTCTACAAAGCAATGGTTTACCCTAATTAGGCATTCTGTGTTCAAACTGTGATCATCCTACTTCAGGAAAGGTAAGTCTGAAATACAGCAAGCTGGGGAGAGGTGAGAAGAATAGCAAATTAGCTGATTGATAAGCCTTTTTGTAACTATTCTTCTCATGCAGGAAAGCAGGCTGATGATACATTTTTCTACCCTGACTTTGTTGATAGCGTATAATGACTAAATTTCACTGGGAAACAAGAACGTATGAAAAATTAACACATTCATAATTAAGCTCTGTTGTAAAGCCCTGTCTGATGCATTAAAGAGCTGCCCTTCATTCAGGGCACAGCCAGGCTCCCTCTGGCAACTCCTGAAGCATCCAAGAGGGACGCTACAAAGGCGGGATGATGAGCTAGGGGAACCAGCGATTCCTCCTCTGTGTCATCTCTTGCTCGCCCACCTCAAGTTTTATTTGCAAGAGTAGAAATTAAGAATCAGCACAGAAACTTTAGAATCTGAGTATGAGGCTTCCAGCAAAAGCTTCTTCAGCTAGCGAGAGGTGGGCCCTGGGCTGTGTCTGTGCGCGGTGGCACAACGCGCGGGGCCCTACTCACAGTCCAGGATGACCTGCGCCGCCCGGTAGAGCTGCAGGCCCTGCAGCAGATCCAGCAGCTGCTGCACCGTGGCCAGCCGCACGCCCCACCACCACATCAGCTCGCGGGTGATGCTGATCCCCGTCTTCTCCATGCACTTGATCTTCCGTAGCTCCGTCTGGTCGGTGATCACGTAGGAAGCTGGCGGGAGGGGAGGTGTTTGCTTCAGAACGGGGAGAAAACACCAAGTGCAGACAGAGCAGCGAGGCGCGATACACACATACGGTTTTTTTTCCCCCAATTTCGTACTTTTAAAAGGATGGCCGGCAGGTAGCTATGGGCCTGAGGGCGACCCCCTCCCTGGGAGGGAGATGCTGCCTTCATTCCTTTGAGCGGTACCGGAAAAAAAACACCGGTAGCGGCGGAGCCCCGGCCCTCCTCCGGCCCCCCGGCCCCCCGCCCCCGCGCCCCCCCCGGCCCCCGGCCTCCCCCCGGCCGGCTCCGGGTCCCGGCTCCCCCCGCCCCGCGCGGCCCCGGGCGCTGAGGGGACCCCGGCCGGGCGGGCCCAGAGCCGGGGCCGGCTCCGGCTCCGCGGGCGGCGGCGCTCACCGAAGCGCATCCAGTCGTGGTCGCCCAGGCAGTCCATCTTGTGGCAGAAGTCCTCCAGCACCCACGCGGGCATGCTGTGCACGTAGGGCGACGGCGGGGCCCGGGCCGCCCGCCGCGGGGACATGGCCTGAGGGCCCCTCGCGCCGCACTCCGCCATCGGCGGCCGGGGGGGACCGGGGACACCGGGAGGGGACCGGGAGCAGCCGGGGGGGGACCGGGAGCGGCCGGGGGCGGCTTTTCTGGGCGCTTCCTCCCGCGGCCGCCCGCCCCCGCTGCTGACGTGCCGGGAGGAGCCTCACGGGGAGGGGCGGCTTTTCCGCGCTCCTATCGACCTACTTTCGTTACTTATTTATTTACCTATTTATTTATTTATTTACTTATTTATTTATTATTGTGTCCCCTCAGCGGCTGCAGCCCCGGTCCCGGGGTTACGAGGGCCGGGGGAGCGCCAGGCTGGGAGCTGCTTACAGGGAAGCGGCGAGCAGTGAGGCACGAAGGCAGGGACAGCCCCGCCAGGCAAACACACACCCCAGGTGTGCTGTCATTGACAATACCACAACGTGAAGGTAATACCTTGTTACCGACCCGCTTCGGCAGCACTAGCATCCCACCGCTGCCTGCCCCTCTCCCTCCCACAGCCGGTCCCCGCAGCAGGGTCCCTGCTGAGGCGTGGGCCGGGGCAAGCCGTGCTGCAGGGAGCCGGGCACCAGCAGGAGGTGACAGCACTGCTGCTTCTGGCCCCCGGGTACCGGGGGGAAAAAGGAAAAAAACTGAAATCTTCCGCTTTGTCACGTTGGGAAATGAGGGTGGAAAAAAAGGTATAAGATTTGCGTACTTTTGTTTAAAACTCATTTAACAGTGTTTATGGCTTCTTTTTGGCTCTAATCATCACTTGCAGCAAAACGTTTCACAAGGGAACTGAAAATTATCTTCTCAAACTGAGACAAGCACAACCATTATCCACTGAGACAAGCATGACCTACTCCCATTTTGTAGCCTTCCCTCCCAAACAGCGAGACTGTCCGTACTGCTGTGTGCTCTCCCTGAACTCTTGAACACTAAACAAGCGTCAGATTAATTTGTTATTTCTCCAGCATTTTCCACCTTCACCTGTGACCCGTGCTTCCTGCAGCACCTGCAGTATCGTTTTCCCACTGCACTGCATTTGGCACTTGCCTTGAGCTGGAACTTTCAGTTCTGATCCTCACTTCCCCCAGATTGCTGCTGCTCTGGTGACTCAAGTGAAACAATGCTGTGAATCGGAACAAAAACCACCCGAGTTTCTCATGTCATTATGAGAAGTAAATGCAACTTTCACTCATTGCTGATCTAGCTGAGTTACTCTGGGAGGCTCCGCTCGTGTGCCCACCCACGGGTTGTAGCCAGCAGGGGTCTCCTCTGGTCTTCTTTATTCTGTCCTACAGGACTCCAAAACAGAAGAAAAACACTTCCTTGCATACAGTGAGCATTTCTCCAGTTTATCTATAACATGCTTGCTGTTTTTAATGGACTTTTTCAATAAGAGCTCTTTAATGACCCCAAATTCTCAATACAGCATTTATGCACCTGCTTTAGACTAGGCTGGAAAAAAAAAAAGTATTTCCTAGTTTGTCAACAGGAAAATCTCTTACTGATCAACCACGATGACTTTTGGGAGTATTTCAGGAACACAAGTATGTAGTCACAAGCACTGTGAAATTATCTGACAGAATTAGAGTCAAAACATAAATGTGCATTTATTTTTTATGACAAACAAAGATCAGTTCATACACTTAAGTAAGAAAAAACAAGTCTACAAGAAGGGGAGACTTTTCATACTTACATAATACACTGATATTCTCAGTCAGTTTCACAGCTGTATTTTTAGAATATGTAACTAAGAAGCAGCTTATGCCACAGAAACGGCCTGCTAGAATCTCATCAGTCTGCTGCGCTGAGCAGCACCCGCACCTGCTGCTTGGTGGGCAGCTTGTGTACCTGCTAAAACCGATGCTGCTTTGAATCACGTGCACGTACTTGCACAAACGCACATTGAAATCGAGGTGTGGGGCAACAGAATATAGGCAAAGGATTTTTGAACTACTCATCCAGGCTGCAATAAAAGCACAGACCTGTTTGAGAGGAACTAGCAATAGGCCGGTGTGAGCTGCTGCAGCCTAGCAGCCGCTCCGTGGGAGGCACGAGCAACCCGAACAGCCCGTGCTCCCCAGGGAGGCCTCTCGCTGTGACACAAACTGCCCTGCCATGGGGAAACGCAGGGCTCGAAGCATCTACCTGCTGTGACCGCTACCTGATACACCTATGGGAAGCTGTGGGTGCAGGTATGGTGGTGCAGAAGAAAAAGGGGTCCCAAAACTAAGATCCAGTCTGTGGCTGAGAAGGTTGGATCACCTGGAGAGATAAACTAGGCAAGAATTCAATACTGAAGGACAAATAAGGCATTCAAGGCATTTCCTGTGTAAAAAATTGTCGGCAGCAGTTGACACAACAGGGTTTTATGGAAACCTTTACAAAGGTAAGAGGCAGAGAGTAAAACCCAGGAGTTTACACGTCATCTTTCCACCAACACTGAAGTTTCAGTCAGGCCCTCAGAAGGTGATGGTGGAAGCTCTCACATACACACACCCCACGCTCCGTGATTCAAAGGCAAACTTAACGTAAGTGCAAGAGAGAGAAATTCCACCAAAACCGAAGTGTTCAAGCAAAACTGGTGTTGGTGTGCCACTTTTTAGAGTCCGAATTAAACTAATCCTTGATGCAACTTCCTTTCTAATACAGAGAAAGGTGAGCTGCAGGCGTATTCTCCGAACAGGCGGCCTGATCTCATGCCACTATGGAATGTTCTGAAATAGTCCAAAGCAAACATCTCTGAGCTTTGTGCACGCAAGGCCCCTCGATTCCTGGGTCTGCAATACGCTCAACTAAGAGCAGAACTGAACCCTCATGAACCCGGCATACTTTTACATCCTGTTTAGTCTTTTGAATCTGACTTACCATCACAGCAAGTTTTCTACAATTTGTCTGAGTTTGTTTCAGAACTTAAAATACGTCCGTTTGCTCCTGGCATGTTTCATGGTGACGACTCCTGCTTTAACTCAGTGGTTTGCTGTTTAAATGGTCTAGAGTGAATAATGTCCACTTTATTCTAGAATTTCATTCCTTAACATTTCGCTTCTCTCCAGAGACAGCCGCTGAAGATCCTTCTTGATGTCTGGGTGATCTTCCAGGTCCTCATACAGCGACCGAACGATGTCCAGCTTCCTGTAGTCCACCGGCTTGACCAGGCTGCGAACCACCTGGAGACATCTCTCCTTCAGGGTGAACACTGAGGTAAGAGCAGACAGAACAGAAACAAACAGAGCCCTGTCACTAGGCCTCGTTAGCTGCCCCAAACAGCCGCTACAGACAGACGTTGTTCTTACAAGCGTGTGAACGCAGGAAGCAGAACGGGGTCGTTTTATGCAGCAGTACGGGAGGGGAAGGGGTTTGCTGTTTGCCATCGTGAGGCATTTTGTGTGAGATGTTTAAAAGCAGGGTCTGCCAGCAGCTCTGTTCGGAGCAGAGCCGTGCTGCAGCGCTCCCCGGGAAGCCTCCCGCTCTGTCCTGTCCCCGCTCTGCCCTCCCGCTCTGTCCCGTCCCCCAGCAGCCCGGACCCCCCCCACCGCACCTGGCAGGGTGATGTCGGCCTTGCTGACGTCGGGCGCGGCCACGAAGAGCTCCTGCTGGTTGACGAGCAGCCCGTCGTTGGTCCCCGCGTCCCGGAACAGCCAGAGGTGCCCTGCGGGACGGGACGGGACGGGACGGCGCTCAGCGGCGCTCAGCGGCACGGCCCCGGCCCCCCGTCCCCCCGCTCCCCACACACCGCGGTAGCTGTGCATCACCCGCCCGGTGCGCGGCCGCAGCACGGGGTAGGAGCGCGGCCTGCCCTCGAAGTCCACCCAGACGGGCAGCACGCAGCGGGGGCTGCGGTTGTTGAAGACCACCTCGGACAGCTCCCGCGTGTTGGCGGAGCGCAGCCCCCCCGGCACCCCCCCGGGCACCCCCCCCGCCCCCGGACCCGGCCCCGTCCCCGGCACCGCCACCGCGCCCGGCATCGCCCGGCCCCGCCGCGCGCATGCGCGGCGCCACCGGCGGGCGGGAGGCGCAGGCGCGGGGCGGTGGCGGGGCCGGGGGCGGGCGGGGCGCGGCCCGGCAGGAGCAACAAACACAGCCCGGGGGGGGCTGCCCGCAGCGCAGGGATTGAACAGGCCCTGCCTCCACCAGGGCAGCGTGCGGTGCGGGAAGGCTGCACCGCCCCTCACGGGGCACAGAGCAGAAGGAGAACACAAGGCAGACTTGGTCCTGTGCCAAACTCCTCGAGCCTTAATCTGCCTCTACACCCATATCGTTAGCAATGAATGCACCTTACAGAAAACAAACTGGTAACCAGTGGTGTCAGCCTCTGATGAGCACAGATAAAAGCCTGAGAAATCACAGTACCAGCAGAGAAGAAGCAGTATCTGCAACTTGAGTTTATTGAACGGATAATGTACTTTTGTAAATGCGGTGGCATGTCTACAGCAGTTTAAGTCCCCTAATAAATTTATACATACTGCCACCTCGCTGTGTCTACAGTAGGCATTGAAAACACGAACTTTTAAATGTAATTCCTAAAAGTCTCTGTTCTCAAACAGTAACTACAGTTTGCTGAGGCTGCATGTGGTACCTCCCTCACCCACAGCAGTGGTACATGAAAACAGGAATCAGACACCAATAACTAGCACTAGGTTGAAGTAACCGGTATGAACGCAAACAGCAGCAGCAGCATACTGTTTAGTAATTAGTATTTTCTTACCAGAATATAAAAAAATCATCTTAGTTTACATTTGGGCAATAGTATAAATTAAAAAACGTTGAATTGGAAACATCCTACAATAAAGCGATGCTACCTCTAAGCCCTTCAAGGTAACAGGCTCAGTAGTGCTGTTGGTCACTTTAAGACACATGTATGATTTCTACAGTTTGAGGAAGAAAAATGAGCTGTTACCTCCAAGGATATCTCAACATATTTTCTACTGTAAGCAAAGAAAATAAACATTTAATGTAAAAAACACAACAGACATAGTAGAGAAGACTCAGGCAAAGGAAAGCCCTATTAATATACCACTACTGAATTTCATTTTTGGGCGGCAGGGTGGAAAGAGATGATTTAAAAGTGGTTTCAGAACACACAGTACAACTGGCAGTTCTCAAGTTGATCCCTGGTTCAATGTTCATGTTACACAATTTCCGCGTATGTTGTTTTCGTCTTAGTATTTGACAGACAGCCATAGTCTCAGGTGTCTCCTTTACTGAACTGCTATTCAGGATGTTCTGCAGGTGTCTGCTGCCTTCTTCCACATGGGTTACCAGAATGATCTTTTTTCTTCTGCCCTTTCCCAGGTGCGCTTCAGAAGATACACTGCAGCGTGAAGCCCCCCTACATTCACCCACACAGTTTGATTTTTGCGCCAGATGTGTCCCATTCTTGACAAGGCCTACAATCAAAAAAAAAAAACAAAAAGAGAACAGTGGTGGCTTCTTCAAGACAAGAGAGTAAGGATAAATTTGGTTTAGACATTGTTTTTGATTGTCTTCAGATGTGATTTGGGATAAAGTCAAATTCTTCAGGTCTAAAACTGTGTTGAAATGCTCCTAGTTATCTCTCTAAAAGCGGATTACCTTCCATAGTGAAGTAAGCTTACTTTTTTTTTTCCTCAATAGGCGATCTTGTGCAAGTAGGTTTGATTTACTGGTAAGGTTTGTCACAGAGAACATACCTTGGCAAAGCATTTCTTGTCCTGCGTAAGCAGAGCAGCTCTCCCTGTCCCTGGCGTGCAGATGCGGCCCATCTCCATGAGGCAGGCTGGATAGAGATCCCAGTTCTTCTTCTTTGACCCTATCCTGTAATATAGAGCAGGGTCTCCCTTGTGATTGCTGAAAAATCGTTAACTGCAGCTGGTCTTTCAGACACACATTAGTTCATTTCTGACCACATTTACATTGATTCTAACCTGCCCTTTTAATTTAGAGTAAATCAATACTTCTTAATTAGGTCCAGTTAAGTAACTAGAGAGAACCCTAACCCTGGACACACAAACACATGCCAGCGTGACAGTTACACACAGCGAGTTTAACCACGACACCTCACCTCTTTCCAAAAGGCATGTCTGTCACGATAACATCCACAGAACCAGTCCGCAAAGGGAGATTGCAAATATCCCACTGAATGATGTCTAAGGGTATGCCCAAGGAAGTACTGCTGCAAGTACAAAGACATTCATCTCAGACATGGTTTACTGAGAACATTTTTAAAGTGACGTCTGTAATACTAGCTAAAGAATAAATGCAAAAATATGGTCAAGGAAATCAATGCAAAATGGATTTACTCACGAACAATACAGGAAAAGAAAATCACTCGTGCTCTTCTCACCTTTCCTTATTTTCGTTTTTCTTTAGTAAAGAGCAGATGTTGTTTGCTGCTCTCTTTACAGCTTGTGGGTTGTTATCACCAGCAATGTGGTAGCAACTAGGCCACTCCATAGCTCCCTGGAGGAAAATATCGATAAAGAGCAACATCAGAGAGCATCAGCACAGCTCCCTTTTAAAATACATGTATAAAACTAAACTATTGCAGAATATGACCAAGCAGTTTGAAAATGTCAATGATTTTAAGATACTGTAACAGATATTTGTTCTAGGTATCACACACCTTAAAAGCTCAAAACACTTTTGGATTTAGTTTCTTCCTGCTATAGCTTTGGGAAGGAAAATGAAAACATTTACAAAAAGCGTATTTGTAGCTGAAAAGTTGCTGAGATGCTTTTGTAGTTGGCTATTCAGTTATTGCCTATAAAACTTACACACATTATTCAGTCGCAGATAGTGTCTCGAGTTTTACTATGTTAAAAAATAAAGGAAGAATCACCTCGATTGGTATTGCACCCGTACCGCACATGGGATCAACGATGATATCCGTTGGCTGTGGATCACAGAGTCTGAAGAGCAGGAAAAAAAAGGTACTTTGAGAGAAGTCTTAAAAATAGGATTATTTTAGACTGAAGAAAACCTAAACTCTTTTAATCACTCCAGTTCTGCCCTTCTAACAAAACATTTTCTGATTATTATTTCCATTTGATAATTAGCATTATACAGTGAAATACTTTTGAGAATGCTGTGATCTGTATTTACTAAAACTGTCTAATAGATCACAGCAAACATTTACTTTTCTAAGCTGAAAAACAACCAGTGTTTCTGGACTTCTAATTTATTTATTATTTTAAAATAAGAATTAACAGAAATTACATTTGAGGAAGCAGTGGGGAGGAACAAGGTATCTAACTTCTGATACAGAATGACTTAATTAACTGAGACTAATGTAAGACTACATAATTACACTGACCTAAGCATGCCATAAGCCAGAGTTGAACGAAGAGTTGTGGGTCCAAAATGTGTAATATTTCTTCTGTGAAGACTCTCTTCAGTTAATGCAATGCCCACAACTACTTCATTATTGTGAATATTCAGGAGAACCTAAAGAAAAACTTGAACTAAATATCAGAAGTAACAGAAGCTTCCCATAGCACACCTGGTGACTGTTTAAAGTGGCACCCATGATTTGTATAAAGCTGGGCAATACACACATAAGAGCACTCTCGAAAGAAAACCAATCCACTACTTGTAATGAGGACAAAGCACACCACTGAGCATAGCGTAGCTTTTCTCATTCACACAAGACTTCAAAAAGCACTGTAAACATTATGTTGATGTTTTAAAAAAATGTTTTCTAAGTATGGGGGGCAAGTAAGGTAAGTCCTGCAAGTCACAAGGCAGCATTTGGAAGGCAGCAATTAAAAAAAAAAAATCACACTCCTGGTCCAATCTACGATATGAATTTGGAAGGTGAAAACTATTACAGGAAAGGGGGCCAGCCCTCAGGAAGACTTGCACAACAAGCTTTTATTTTTTCTGCCTCTCAGAACACTGGTGGACCACATCTGCTGGACATCCTTTCCAAATCTCTGCTTTCCCTATAAAGGGAGAGAAACACGGGACAACTGATGTAGTAACCTCCTTCAACCACAAAACTACAGCTTGTAGATGGGATACCTTCTATTAGCTGATACAGATATAAACCAGCGGATTAAGCAAACGTTTTATGCAGGTGAAAGTAAAGCAGAACGCTGCCTACACTATATTTAACATGAACAGGCACTAACTCTGTAGGAGGAGGCAAAACTCTGTGTTAGAGCTTTTGGTGTAGATGAGGGAGAGGAGAAAGCATTTGAACACCAACTCAACCGCTTTGGGTTTAGCCATGTTCATCAGCTAACTTGAGGATGAGTGAAGTGTTTGCAGAGCAAAGGGGAAGCTGAGGAGGAGAGGTGCCCAAGCAGGGACACAAGAGATCATTACTGTGGATAACCAAAGCAGTAGCAGGCGGTGGGCTGTGAGGACGTGCACAGTGTCGGTGAAATTCATGCTTCTGAGGAGGCCAATTCTCTAAAAATGAGAATTCAGAAGGAATCTGTAAAATAGAAGTGTAGCTATTTCCAAGGCACTGGACAATACCTCTACATCGAAGTTGGTCATGTCAGCTTTCCACTGGAAGTGCTCCTGCACAGCTCCGCCGAAGTCTCTTGCAGCCTCGTTAGATGTAAAGCTGTGCTTGTCGCCTGCTCTGTTGCAGGTAACGCGGAACTTCAACACCTTGGCATCTCCTTCGCCTTCCTTGCCATCACCAGCCTTGGTCTCAGCCCCAGAACCATCACATGGTTCATCTTTAGCCTCTGGCTGCTCGTTGTCATCATCCCCGTTCTGTGATTCTGCTCCTCCCGTCTCCTCTGGCCCCTGGTCACCAGCTGGTTCTGCGGCTTGGGCACAGTCCTCTTGCTCACTTGCATCTTTTTGATCTGTTCCTTCCTCTTCTCCATCATCCTTCACCTTTTCTTTGCTTGCAGAACTCTGCTGATTATGCTTTTTGCGTTTTGTCTTTTTCTTTTTTAAGCTGTTGTTCAGCTCCCAAACTTTCAAAGGATCATTCCAAGGCAGTTTCTTAACCAAATCTTCCAAATCCTTTAAAGCTTCTTCCTTTAAAAGACAAAAGAAGTTGTACCACGAAGACATTCCCTCCCATAAAAACATCCTTTTTCTAACTCACTCAAATTGGTCTCTTAAACACTTAACCTGTTGCATGTTTAAGCAAAGCTTGCAGCTTTTTGTGCTATTTTTGCCACAACTGAACCGGGTTGTATTTGAAGTCAAAGGACCCATAGCATTTTGCCATTTATCTTATAACACAAGCAGTTAACACTGAATTAGGAAATCCAGGTGATCGTTTATCATCCTCTACGCACGACAGCACCACAGCTGCTCCCTTGCAGCACAGCCCTGAAGAAGTGCCGCTAGGTGAGCTGCCTGTGCTTGGCCTTTAAAGCCAACAAGGAACAAACCCTCGCTCCCCAGACACAAAGCTGTCTGGAAGCAGACAAACCTCCAACCCCTGCGCCCCCTGAGTGCTTGAGGCAGGAGCCCACCTTGGTTTCCTTGAACTGGTAATCTCTGAACTCCTGCACCACGACGAACAGGTTGTCCACCGAGCGCAGGCGGTGCACCTGGAAGGGAGGAGAGGCCGGGCTGGGGTGTGAGGCCGCCCCGCCGCGCCCCGGGCTCTCAGCAGGGCTCCGGGGCGGGGGCAGCGGGAGCCGTGCGGGGAGCACGCACCTGCGGCAGGCAGCGGGCCGGCACGGAGAAGTAGATCTTGCCGCGGTCCCTGCTGACCCGCGAGGCCGAGCCCAGCTTCTCCTGCACCTCCGCCGCCGCCGTGGCCTCGAACCCGGTGGGCACGGTGGCGCCGATGACGGCCGCGGCCTCCTCAGACGGGGCCTCCCCGCCCGGACCCGGGCCCGGACCCGCCTCCGCCATGCCCGCTGCCGGCACGCGCTGCCCCGCGGGGCCGTTCGCTTCCGCTTCCGCTGCCGGGCCGCGGCGGCAGCGCCCCCTGCTGGGCGGCGGGCAGGGCAGGGGCGGGAGGGGCGGATTTATTTTCATTACTGGATTTCCACATGGGAAAGCTCCGGGTTTCTCATTCTTTGGGTTTGATTTTCTTTTTTGGAAGGTGACCTGTTAGACAACCGGATGGGTTCTCTGAGTTTGTGCCTAAGTAAGGCAGCGAGGGGGACAAACCTTTAAAAAACGTCGAAGCTTTCAAAAATCCTGTTTGACTGTAGATCGTGAAGCAAACAAACGTAACACCAAAACAAAGAGCCTCAAACCACTCAGCCAACTACTTGCCAGCAGTTCTGCTGCTGCTTTCTGGCCACTTTTATACCCCCATGCCCCTGTTTTGCATCATTTTTTTTCAGACAGTCCCTGGAGTGCTTTGGCGAAGTTTGGATTTCCAGAATAAAACCCAGGCGCACGGCTGCTCGGTTGGCCCCAGGACAGCGTGTGCGGGAGGCTCTGCGTTGTGACGAGACGCGCTGCAGCGAGCCCGGTCCTAGCCAAGTGTTGGACGGGAGCTGCGAGCCCCCGCCATGGCCCTCCTGGTGCCTGGCCGTGTCACCAGCCGTGTTCATCATCAGCGGGAGAGAAAGGCGCTGTGCTCAGCGCTGGTGTGCTCAGCGGTGGTGTGCTCAGCGGTGTGTGACCTCAGCGATCCCCAGCCGAAGCACAAAGCGGTGCGAGCCTGAAACCCAGAGCTCAGCAGGGCAAATTGGCAGCTTAGTGCTTACTGCACGGGGAGGGTGAGTCACGGGGTGCTGCAGCACTGTGAGTGCGCCCCGTGCTCCGCTCAGCAGAGAGGTGTGAAGCGAAGCCAGGAGGTGATAAGCCAAGACAAAGAGTTAACGACTTATGGTGAGAAATTGGTGTCTCTGCAGGTATTTTGGTGTTTTGGCACCCAGAGGACCGTCCTGTCTTTCCTTCCCCCTGGCGGCCTTTGCTAAAAAAAAACAGGTAGGTGATGACTGGCAGCTTCCGCAGGGGAAGCGTCCGTGGTTGCGGAGCTGTGTGCTCAGGAAGGTCAGATGGGTGATAAGCTGATAACAGGAGGAGAAGCTCACACAGCTGGTGGCAGGAGATGCACCGACAATGTCTGGTGCAACTGTGCAGCTGCATACACTGCTGCCCCAGGTAACTCGTCCGTGAGGTGGGTTGTGTGCAAGCTGCTGGCAGGGCCTCGTCCAGCGAGAGATGTAATGTGCACAGAACTTCTCACCACTAACAGCTCAATGACAGCAGTGAAGGAGATCCAAAGGTCTCACTTCATTTGGACCACAGTGACAAAAAATAACTGCTTGGGCTGGTTTGGTTAATTTGGTAGGGCATGAGTAAATTTAGAGAGGGCGCTGAATTTCCAATAGTGAATTGCAAAGGTGTGTCTGTGCCTGCCTTGCCTGGAGAAACTGCCCGTATTGCATCGATTTCAGAGCTGGAGCAGCCCGTTTTTGTAAGGAAACACTGAGTGCTGGGCTCCCTGCATTCAAAACCATCACGGACAAGCGGGAGGATAGGAAGGTCTGATGGCCATGGTGAATCAGCCTGAGAGGTCTGCATCAAAGAAAACCTTTAAAGTGAGACAGCCGATCTTTTCAGGCCTGGGTTTTGGTTCAGACCATCTCAACTTTCACTTCGGACTGAGAAGCATCATGATTACCGAACCCTTTGCATCACAGCAAAGTCCCATCTCATCTGCCATTTTTCTTTGCAGATGCTTTGGTCATTCAACCAAGAGAAAACCTCTCTGCAGTAATGAGCAGCCCACACTTCTCTTGTGTCTCTTGCTCAAGGATTTCCTGGGCTTTATGTCACAGCAGCAGCACGTGGTGGGTCCACGCAGTGAGCTGGGGCTGCTCTGTTTTGTGGCATCCGGGCTCACCTGTTGTCGAGTCCCACCAGTCTTTGGGGGTGGAGCTGTTGGGGATGTCAGGGTCCAGCCTGGGGGCTCTACGGGCAGAGCCTGGAGTGCCTGGCGGAGAAAAGAAGCGTCCTTGGTGCTGGGCATGCCGCGCCTGCCTTCCACAGTACGGGACCCAGCATCTCTCACTCGTTTGAGGTAGTTACTGGGCACTTGGTGAATTAAACCTCGGGGCCAACTGAGGTGATTACCTGAAACGTCCTTGAATGGAAAGAAACATTTCAACCCTTATGGTAATGATTCTGTGGCAGAGTGGCTGGAAAGAAACCATAGCAACGATGTCACTTAGATAGTGAGAAAGGAAAACACAAACACATAGAAGTACTGACTTGAGTCAGGATCAGGACTCTCAGACAGCACTGTTGTCTTTCTGGAAATCACCGGGTAATTACAGGACTTTTTCTGTATGTACAAAAAGCACGGTCATCAGCACGGCTGCGGCTGGCACCACGCTGTGTGGCCATTACCTGCAGTCAGTACAAATTTTGGCATCGTTTATTCCCTCCAGCTCAGTGCTGTGAGACCCTCTCTGTTCCCGACAGGCCACAGATGCGCTGTTTTCCAGCTGACTCGCTGCCAGAGGGCAGAGGAGAGGACCCTGGAGCTGGGACTTGCCCAGTTTCCTTGCGTGAATCACTTCTCATCTTCCCATTTGTATTCTTTCTGCTGAATCAAGCCGCAGCCTCTTTATGAGAAGGTTTTCATCACTGGCATGGTCCCCACCCCCAGAGGGTTTTAGCTAGTTTGATTTTAATGGTAGTTGGAGTGCTCCTAGAAAGTTACGCCAGCCTCCTACACACAGACGTCCTGGTGCTGATGCTTCTACCAGGAATGGCTGAGGGTGCAGTGGTGGTTTTGTTTTTGTTTTGTTTTTTCCCCTTAGGTGCAGAACTGCTCACCTAGAAAGGAGACCTTGGGACTTAAAAAGGCCTTGCACATGGGTTTCTGACCTCTGGATCATTTTTATTTTTTCTCTGATTGTTGCTGTTGGAGGTATCCTGAACGACTGTCTTAGGGTTAGAGAACTGAGTCCTGTCCTTACCTCCCTGTCACCGCTTCTCTCCCGGCACTGGATGGCTGTAACACACATCTCCGGGGGGCTGTCGGTGGCTGTGATTGCCCAGTGACCGAGTGCCTTTAGAAACAAGCTGGCTCTGTCATTGCTCCCGTTCCTGCTGCAGTAGTGCCCAACTGGTCAGGCATCTGCCTTCGGGTTTAAGCATACACACTGAGAGGTGAAATCCACTGTTTGCTCTTCCCAAAGCTTGTGAGCTGTACAGAAAGTGTTTCGGTGAATAATGTGCGTGGGGGTGCTGGGCTCTTCCCTTCTGACACCTCTTGAAGAAAGCACAGCTTTCAGAGGGCCGGGTGATGCTTTTACCACTTCCTCTTCAAATGCTGCTCGTGTGGCACGCGCCTCAGTACCGTTTTTAATCCCTCTCCTGCTGATCTTCACTGCTGCACAGAGAGTTCCCGCGGATTTAACACAGGAGTCAGGGTTGCGTTTCAGGATTTTTGTAGGCAACCTTGTAACCTACAGGCATCTGCTAACTAACCCGCAGGCAGGCTTACTTCAAGATACCTTTGTGAACAGGTGCTTCTTACACGGACATACGGGAATAAAACAAGGCAGGGGTGGAGGAAGTAGTTCACGATTCCAGATTCTTTGTGGTGTGTTAACTTCATCCCGCGCTGGTGGCGGTGCCTGAATGCAGTGCCAGGCAGCCCGTGGTGTACGCTGCCGGGCAGCTGGATGGGCCTAAAGGGCTGGAGACCTGCGTGCTGTGTCGGCAGCCCCTGTGGGGAAAGGGAGAGGTGGCGGAGCTCAGGGGCTGCTCCAGCCCAGGGTGCAGCTTCGGGGCTGGCAGCCCGCGTGGACAGGCAGAAAGTCGAGATCTGTCAGAATGCCTGCTGAGCTGGAGGAGCGGCATGCACAGCTGTGGTTCTCGTGGTAGACACCCTGTGAAAGCGCCTTTGAGTAAACAGGGTCACTCACCTCCCACCTTGCGGAGCCCAAGGCAGGTTTGGGCAATGCTCAGCCCATCTGCTGCTGAAGCTGCCTTCCCTAGAGGTGACGGCTCCCTGCCTGCGCCGAGGCAGCGCGGGAGTCCCTCTGCATAAATTACCATAAAGCAAACCCAGGCTTCAGTCCTGCGAGCAGAGGGGATGGCTGCATCACTGCAGCGCGTCTGCTGTGCCGCTGGCAGGACTTGCCTGTGTCTGTACAATGTTCCTCGTTAACGAGGAGAGCTGGTCTTGTGATGAGATCCCTCCAGCAGGAGCACCCCGGTCGCTGGGCGCGTGCCCCGTGGGGCAGCGAGCTGCAGCGCTCCCCTCCTGCGGTGTCCCAGCTCATGGGGCTGCGTCCCAGCTCGGCCAGTCCTGCCCATGGCACGCGGGGCGCTCCCGCAGCGTGGGCTGTGGGGCCGGGTCCTCGGCGTTATTCTCCGTCCCTCCCCTGATGCACAGCTTGACCACAGCTGCACGGTCTGCGGCGTCCCGCTGCCGCTCCTTTCTGCCGTTCTGCCTCTGTTCAGTGTTTTCATTGATGGGTTGGGTGATGGACCAGAGATAAGGCTTTGTTAGGTCTGCAGATAACACCAAGCTTGGAGGGGCACCGGGAGCACTGGAGGAGAGGGTGGGGATTTGAAATGATCTGAAAACGGGGATGCAGTGGTGAGGGGCAGGTTGCTCTTCTGGAGCACAGCGGGAGGGGAGCACAGCGTGGGTCTCAGGCTGGGGGTTGTGAAAGAAGGCAAAGCCCACACGGAGATGGACCGACACAGGGAACGACCTGCACGTAGGTGGCAGAGCCTGCCTGCTCCTCTGGGCATCGGCAGGCCCCCGGCTGCTGCTAGGTCTGGGCATTGCACCTCCAAAAAAAGGGAGAGTACTCAGAGGGACAAAATAGCATCATCTAAAAGGCATGAATTCTAAGAGAATTTCACCCAAAATGTGACTGGAGATTCTTAAAAAAATGGGGAAGTGGTGCAAGGCAAAGACTGTTCCCCACGCTGCAAGCACCCCATGGCACA